TTCAGCTTGTAATACTCCCCTTGGTGCTGCAGAAGGATAGTTGGAGTCAATTGCAATTTCTCGTCCGTTTAAGTTGATGGCATTTAATTTGATGGGACCTTTTCCATGATCAACTGCTGACAATGAGTATGTCATTATTGTTTCTGACTATTTGCTCTTGTTAACACATCTACAACTAATATTAGATACTTCCTCTTCAATCAAGTGGTGTTCCAGCAATTCTGTCCAAAGCAGGTTCTTTCAAATAATAGTACCGTATTTATGGCTGAGGCATTTCAAGTTTTGACATCTTAGTTGGGGATATGCCACACTTTCACAAGTGTTTATTATCCACAATTAGACAGTTTAGTGGAACGGCTCTTTCGAACCTTCAAAAAGATAATTGCAAAGTACATGAACTTTCAGCATTTGGATTGAGATGTTATTTACAATCTCTTCGGTATGCGTATGTTACAAGAGTGCAGAGTTCTATTATTGTTTCACGATATAAACTCCTATATGGTCATAATCCAATACTATCAACGAAGTTGGGTTTACCTTCACAATTGCCGTGGGCTACCGATGCTAAGTTGTGGGATCAATATTTGATAAGCATTTTTCCACTTGTCTGAGCAAAGTCTACTAAACACGTGGGCCGTGTATAAGTGGGACAACAATGATGCTACAACTTTCATCATTGCCATATGTGAAGTACAAAATTGAGGACTTGATTTAATTTGTTTTCCCTATCTTATAATATGTAGTTTATCTAAGGGGCTCCTTGCTCAATGGAAAGGATCGTATTAGGGTTGTAGCAAGTTGTACTATAAGTTTATGAGTTTCGGCATGACATTCAGTAGACTGATCCTCCAAAAATTGTGTATGTGCAACGACTGAAATGCTTTGCTTTACCATCTAATGGTTGATATTCAATAAAATTAATTTTGTGTTTATAAATTATGAGCATGTTTATAATTATAAATTACCATTTTGATTCATTAAATTAATAAATAAAAATAACAGTACTCTTAAGCAAACCAAGCATTTGCAGTAAATTATTTCCTCAAGAACAGATCATGTTCAGTTTAATGATGACTTTGGGCAACATTGGGTGGACCATACTCATGATTTTGCAAGTTATAATGCCTGACCTCTTGATACTCTTAACAGGAGGCTCCACCAAATTCCAGGAGAGATCATAAGTTACTGCAAAAAACAAGCAATAATAAAAAGCCAATAAAGTGTTCCAAGAATTTCTGGACGTGCCATGAGACAATTGTCAATGCCTAGGCTTGAGCTTTGTTGTTGGATACGATCACCCTGAAGAATGGGCTAAGCTTCAGGCTCATGGAAGGACCAGAGTTAAAATCAAATCGATTTTTTAAAGTTTAAGCCTGTTACCTTCAGCCTTCTCCTCTGCCTTCTCGGAAATTCACGTAGGAGCCACCTTAAACACGCTCTTTATATTATAAAACGCGACCCTTCATTCAATCAAACCTCATTCCATTCGCATTTCCAACTTTCCTTGTCAATTTTCCAGCCATGGCTTCTCGCGATCAAGAGGTGACACTGCTCAGCGCTTGGCCCAGCCCCTTTTCCATGCGAGTCAAGCTTGCACTAGCGCTCAAAGGCATCGAGCACGAAGATCTCCCCCAAGACCTTGGCAACAAGAGCAAGATCCTGCTCGAATCCAATCCAGTTCACAAGAAGGTCCCCGTTCTCATCCACAAGGGCAAGCCCATCCTGGAATCGGCCATCATTGTCCACTACATCGACGAGGTCTGGCCCGAAACAAGCCCACTCTTGCCTCAGGACGCATTCCTCCGCGCACAGCACCGCTTCTGGAGCGATTTCATCGACAAAAAGGTATGGATTCTCTTACTAGAAATCTGCTGCTACGGGTTTTATACTCTTCCTGCTTATCGATCACACAGCTTTTCGACTCCTGGATACGATTCTTGCGTAGTAACGGTGACGCGGCCGTGAACGAGGAGTTCAACCAAAACTGTTTGCTTATCGAGGGAGCTCTGGCGGAGCTGGGCAGTGAGGAAGAGGGCCCCTTCTTTGGTGGCGCGAGCATGTCGTTCTTGGATGTGCTGCTGGCACCCTATGCGGTGTGGATCCCAGGAGTTGAGCAAGTGATGGGCTTGAAGCCCGCGAAATGCCCGCGTTTCCACAAGCTCTTGGCGGCCGCGTCCGAGCACCCCTCGGCCAAAGTGGCGCTGCCGCAAGTCGAGAGGCTCAAGAAGTTTATTCGGGTTCACTTTGAGAGCAAGTGAGCGATGATTGTTTACAAAATCTAATAAATCTCTTGCCCGACTGTCCTGGAAGAAGATTGGAGTCAAGACGTTAGTGTCCTCCTCGCAGATTGTGCTAACCCTTGAGTTACAGAATCCCAGTGATCGCCGGAGAAGAGGAGCTGGTCTTGCCTGAGCACGCCAGTGAGCGATCCTGGATTTCTTCCACTTAATCCTCTAGCGAGGAGAGAAGAGGGGGATCCTAAATGCTTACTTAACTGAAACCCTTTTAGGGTTCACCTTTAATCTAATGACTGGTTATGGTCTACTTAGTTAGTAAACACTGTTTTGATTGTTATAATTTTGTTAAATTGAAAATTAAATTAGAATAATATCAAAACAATAAATATTAAATTCCACAAATGTGTTTCCTCAAAGAAAATTATGAAATTTGTTAAAAGGAATTAGAGGAAATTATCAGATCCAAATGATAAGTCTCCATTGCAAAAGGTTAAATGTTATGCTGGTACATGTGACCCACGTCATACCACCTTCTTCTCTAGTTTAGGCAGTTGACCACCTGAGCAAACATTAGTGTAATTATTCACTAAAACGTAATTAAGAAAATAAGCCTTTAACAGTTACTTCCCATTTGACGGCTGCCATTGGGTAGATCAGTTTGCCACTTCATTATTATATCATTATTATAGAAGCTTAGCCATGATCAAGAGCATTTCCTTGAAGAATAACGAATAGAATGAGATTCGCAAGTAAGCATACCATGAGATTCGCAAGGCCCCTTATACCAGGAGGAACAAACTCTATGGCACAAAGAGTGAGTACCACAATGGAACTTTAATGGAGAAGAATGCTCACCTCGTTGGAGAGCATGGAGTTCTTAGTTGGTTTTGCAATTCTCTTGATCTTGGTTGTCTTCTCGAGCGTGTTCTACCTGAGAGTAGCATCGCAATCGCCATCACTCCCCACTCCACTGCCGATCATCGGCCATCTTTACCTCTTGGGAAAGCTCCCTCACCATTCTCTCCTCGCGATCGCTCGAAAGTATGGCCCCCTCGTCCAGCTCCGGCTTGGCTCGGTACCTGTGGTGATCGCGTCAAGCCCCGAGATGGCGAGAGAGTTTCTAAGAAACCAGGATCTCACCTTTGCGTCGAGGCCGACGTTGCTTACCACGAAGTACATCCTCTATGACTCCAAGGACATGGTTTTTGCTCCATACGGCGAGCACTGGAGGAGCATGAGGAAGCTGTGCGTCGTGGAGCTCCTGACGGACCGTCGCCTCGCCTCATCGCAGCAGGCAAGGCTGGAAGAGCTACAGAGATTGTTAGCGAAGATCGCAAAAGTTGTGGAGACGAGCGAACCTTTCTTGCTGCTAGATCTGCTGACGGAGTTTACGTTCAACGTCATCACCCGGATGGTGATGAACAAGGCTTACTTTGGATCCGGAGAGACGATGGAGGAGCTCGCGGCCACCAGAGACTTCATCCATATGCAAGAGCAAGGAACCATTCTTCTCGGGGAGTTCCACATCGGCGACTACATCCCGTTTCTCAAGTGGTTCGACTCGAGCGTCGCCAAGATGAAAGCCCTGCACAAGATCCAGGACGAGTTCCCGCAAAAAGTGGTCGATCAGCACGTCCTTGCGAGGCAAAGCAGAGAACAAACTCAAGCTCACGATGGAGATGGAGATTTCGTCGACACACTCTTGTCTCTAGACTCTCCAGATCCAAACAATCAAGCTAGAAACATTAAGGCACTCATCCAGGTACTCTAAAGAAGAACAAAGAAAGAATCCATACCTTGGAAGTTCTTACATGTTGTGTTTGTTCTCGTCTAGAATCTCTTGGGAGCTGGAACAGACACCTCCATTACCACGATCCAATGGGCAATGGCGGAGTTGCTAAACAATCCCAGAGCCCTGGAGAAAGCACAGGAAGAATTACGCGCGAAATTCGGCAATGCCCGCCAGGAAATCATCCAAGAACACGAGCTAAAAGATCTACCATACCTCCATGCAGTGATCAAGGAGACCTTCCGCCTCCATCCGCCAGCGCCGCTCCTCATCCCCCACCAATCCACCCAAGACACCACCGTCGCGGGCCTCGCCATCGCCAAGGGCACGCGCCTCTTCGTCAATGTCTATGCCATCGGCCGAGACCCTGCCCTGTGGAAATCCCCCGACGATTTCCTCCCGGAGCGGTTCCTGGGATCCAGCATTGACGTCCACGGCAAGAATTTCGAGCTCCTCCCGTTTGGATCGGGGCGGCGCGGCTGCCCTGGCATGGCGCTGGGATTGATCACTGTCCAGCTCGCCCTCGCGAATCTGCTGCATCGATTCCAGTGGAGCTTGGCGCCGGGCGTGGACGCGCATCCCATGGCCGAGTGCTTCGGCGTCGTCACCACCATGGAAATCCCACTCCGCGCTCGAGCAAGCCCTAATAAGGATTGATACGTTCTAAATATTTTCAAATGTATTCCAGGTGAAATTCTAGTGTTTCTTTAGATTCTTTTCTGTTTTTTTTTTTTTTAGCTTATAGAGGAAGAAGCAAGCTTGGATCAGCAAAGTTTTGTATAGTTTCTGAATTTTTAAATCTCCTAAATGCTTGAATTGTGAAGGAAAGAAATAGTCAGGCGACTAATGTACAAATGAGCAGTCAATCTTTTGTAACTTTGACAAGTTTGGTTTGGTTGTTAGCAGGATTTTGTTGAAATTCTTGTGCAAGAGTTTGAGTTCTATTTGATATCATCAGCTTGATTTCTATTTGACTGAGCATGTATAAAGTCTCACTGGGGCTACAAGGGGCAATGTCGTGTAAGCAATGGAAGCAACAGGCCTGATCATCTTGCTGCTCCTCACTGTTTCTCAGGGTAGTTATTGTTGATGAATCTTTTCTTTTCCCGTTTCATTGACAGCTTTCTGTGGATGGTTTCAGGTATGTTGCCTGAGCAGGCGGTAGCGTTTAGAACACTCAAGCAAGGTAAATCTCTCTCTGGATTCATCCTCTCAATCACTGCTCTTGGTTGTTGTTTTTGCAGTCTGTCCACAAGTGTGCACATACACTTCTGTTGTGTGTAATGGCGTGTGTAGGGATAGAGTCTGCTATAGCGACTGCAACTTACCAGCAAATTGCACTGGATATAGGGGTGCTTGCTCCTGATATGGAGCACAATCTATAATAATCCCCAAGGTGAAGGATGTTGTGTTTGTATTTTGATCATGAATTTACTCCGAGAAAAATGCATACCTCTAGAAGTTCTTCTGGGTTGTGTTCTTCTTTCCTCTGCACTTGGGAGCTGGAACAGACACGTCCATCATCGCATGCATACCTCAGAAGTTCTTTTTTCCCCCTTGAGCTAGAGCTGCAATGAGAACGAATTTCGGGCAGTGCCCCATTTCTGGGGTTTCTCAATTCTAGGGCTTCTAGGCATTCACCAGTCGGAATTGCAGCTGCCATCGATTCATTGAATTTGCAACCAAATCTGCTTAACTAAAAGGACTTTTCTTTGAATGGTTTTTGTTGAGCGCGCACTTACTGGACAAAGTCCTTGATCCTTGCCTTTTGACTGAGGGGATGGAGATGAAGCTCCTCTCCTTTCTCCACCCAGCAGCAAAGTAGCTCTAGATTTGAGCATTTTTTATCCTCAGGAAAGTGAGTGGATGTAAACATTTTTCTTGGATAGGAGTGTTGGGCAAAAAGTGGGTGTTATTTTGAAGGTCAGAATGCAAATCAATAGATTAAGAAAGTGATTTTCAAATTTGGGCATCCAGATCCTAAAAATATCCCACTTTTCATTTCCAGATTTAAGAAAAACCTAAATGTCATAATCAAGCTAAAAATTGTCATTGTGACTTCTAACAAAAAAGGATAAATAGTCATAAAACTAAAAACCTTTTTAACTAGTCATATGTATTTGTATGTATCTATATATTTATATATGTATATTTCTATTAGCAACTGGACTAAATATAAAAAAAATATTCAAAGATGCTTCATTAGGATAAAGAACTTTATAAGATTATGAGGAAATGAAATTTAGAGTGTGCAATTTGTAAAGCAAGCTAAAAACGAAGACAAACGAATTAAAACAAATTAAAACGAAGACAACTGAAGACAAACAAAAACAAACAAAAACACGTGGCTTGGAAATACTTTGAGCAGGGTTCTAGAATATGCACTCGCATCTTTGGGGGGTTGGGAATGGGCCATGAATGGGGCAGATGCTGACGGGATAATCAGCTTTATGCACAGTTGAACGCAGAGCAGTGACGGAGAGTCACACGATTCAGATAGAAGTTTTTGGAAGTACTCGGTGAGAGACAATGGCAAGGCCGAGGTTCTCTTTCGATCGATGCAACAGTGCTGTGGAGCAAACGCATGAACTTTTGCCACTGCGCTCCATGCTCCACTCTCTCAGCTGCCGAAGAATTGATGGGAGGATGGTGAAAGTTTGTTTCGCTGCAACGAGGCAGCGAAGTTCATCGTCAAGCCGAGACTGGGATGAGAACAGATCCTATCCTTTGCAATGTCTACGTGGGGAATGCTCTCATCGACATGTATGTGAAGTCCCAGGTGCTCAAGAGGTGTGATACCATTCGGTTTTATGCCAGATCAAGAAGATTTTTCTTGGCAACCTTTGCTCTCACAGTGAAAGATATCCGAGTGGAGCCAGCACTTTTGTGGCTGCTCAAGAATGCTAGCCCGGAAAGACAAGAGATAACTAAGCTCGTGAGACAACAGGACACTGATACGTTGAGCCAGCTCATGGCCCTGCTTGTCGGGGAGTTATCTTCAAAGAAGCACGTACTGGCTGCTTGCTCGCTCTAGTTACGGAACAAGACATGGGCAAGGAAGGAGCTGCTGGATACGAGGCCTTCGACACGCTCATGACTCTACTCAAAAGCAAGGAGAAGCTGCCTCGGTGATAACCAGGGTCTTTGCTCTTTGCAAGGACACGCCTGTCGTCCAAAAGGCAACGGGACCTCTAAACAAGCTCGTCAAGAACATCAACGAGGAGGAGCCAGGGATGGTCATCTTTGTTTGTAACTCGCTTTTAGCTTACTTACGAATTGCACGCCATAGAGAGTACATTTGCTTTAGCATATAATAAGATATAAAAAGATGTTTATTACAAAAGAACAAAATGTTTAGAATTTCTAAGTTTGAGCAAGCATTAAAACTCACCACAGGTCAGGAATTTCAATAAGAGCATAGGCAAATATCCAGAGTGCTTCCATACTGTGAGGTAAAAAAGAGAATAGCAAGAAATACTTTCACAGATAGTGAGATAATTACTGGGGTATTTTTTCCTCAAGAACAGGATCATGCTGGGTTTATTTTGATGACTTTGGGCTGATACTCTTAACAGGAGGCTCTCGTATTCGAGATCACAAGTTACTGCAAAAAACAAGCAAAAATAAAGGCCAATAAAGTGTTTCAAGAATTTCTGGATGAGACGATTGCCACCAGCAGGGCTCAGGCTCATGGAAGGACCAAAGTCAAAATCAATCGATTTTTTAAAGTTTAAGCCTGTTACCTTCAGCCTTCTCCTCTGCCTTCTCGGAAATTCACGTAGGAGCCACCTTAAACACGCTCTTTATATTATAATACGCGACCCTTCATTCAATCAAACCTCATTCCATTCGCATTTCCAACTTTCCCTGTCAATTTTCCAGCCATGGCTTCTCGCGATCAAGAGGTGACACTGCTCAGCGCTTGGCCCAGCGTCTTTACCATGCGAGTCAAGCTTGCACTAGTGCTCAAAGGCATCGAGCACGAAGATATCCCCCAAGACCTTGGCAACAAGAGCAAGATCCTGCTCGAATCCAATCCAGTTCACAAGAAGGTCCCCGTTCTCATCCACAAGGGCAAGCCCATCCTGGAATCGGCCATCATTGTCCACTACATCGACGAGGTCTGGCCCGAAACTAGCCCACTCTTGCCTCAGGACGCATTCCTCCGCGCACAGCACCGCTTCTGGAGCGATTTCATCGACAAAAAGGTATGGATTCTCTTACTAGAAATCTGCTGCTACGGGTTTTATACTCTTCTTGCTTATCGATCACACAGCTTTTCGACTCCTTGATACGATTCTTGCGTAGTAACGGTGACGCGGCCGTGAACGAGGAGTTCAACCAAAACTGTTTGCTTATCGAGGGAGCTCTGGCGGAGCTGGGTAGTGAGGAAGAGGGCCCCTTCTTTGGTGGCGCGAGTATGTCGTTCTTGGATGTGCTGCTGGCACCCTATGCGGTGTGGATCCCAGGAGTTGAGCAAGTGATGGGCTTGAAGCCCGCGAAATGCCCGCGTTTCCACAAGCTCTTGGCGGCCGCGTCCGAGCATCCCTCGGCCAAAGCGGCGCTGCCGCAAGTCGAGAAGCTCAAGGAGTTTATTCGGGTTCGCTTTGCGAGCAAGTGAGCGATGACTGTTTACAAAATCTAATAAATCTTTTGCCCGACTGTCCTGGAAGAAGATTGGAGTCAAGACGTTAGTGTCCTCCTCGCAGATTGTGCTAATCCTTGAGTTACAGAATCCCAGTGATCGCCGGAGAAGAGGAGCTGGTCTTGCCTGAGCACGCCAGTGAGCGACGCCGAGACATCCTGGATTTCTTCCATTTCCCCGCCTGCTTACTTGGATTTCTCCACTAACTGAAACCCTTTTAGGGTCCACCTTTAATCTAATGATGTAATATCAAAACAATAAATATTAAACTCCACAAATGTGTTTCGGGCATTGTTTGATCTTGAGAAAACCCTTGGCTAGCTTGTGCCTAAACATACAAGGAAATCAATGATAATAAATCAACAAACAATATCATGCCAAGTCCCTTTGATAAGAGAATGGCAAAAGAGAGGCTTTAGACAATTAATTGATGGTCTATGTATATTGTGTTGATATGGCAATCCGGATTAGCCTAATTCTATATGGTATATATACAGACTATTTAGATTGGTAATAATTCTATGAATTTATGGCTATAAATTAGCCATTAAGTATTATAGTAATACCAGCCACAATGAATTTTGTGGATGTTTTGGACATTGGAAATGAATATAGGCATTAGTGTGATGATCTTGTCATTATTAAGAGGGCATGGCAGTTTTTTTATATTAATATGGGAAGCCTTCTGTTCTGATCTATTTGGGCTGTCTCCTCACTCTAACACTCAACCTAGAACAATATCTCAGTCTTTGAGCTTGACAATGATCCACAGCCACAGTAGGTGATCTCTTAATCTCTCTTGCAGATTTAGGCTTTTATAGTAGAAGTGTATTGATCATAGAGAGGTGCAACTCTTGCTTTTATCTTTTGGGTTAGACTTGGCAATGATTAGAGGTCAAGAATTGGATAATTCAAAAATATTTTAGGATTTTATTGGGCTACTTAGAGATAGTTCAGAAAAACTAAGAGTTTGGTTTTAGGCTTTTCTTTATATTTTTATTATATGTTTTTGGGTCATTTGTGTTGTGAATGTGACTTTAAATATCAAAATATATTTGTTGGCTAGTCCTTTCAGACAATCTCTTTACTACTATGATGGCAAGAGATCGATATTACTAGTTCCATTTTTTCAAGTATTTAGCATCTATATTATAGCTAGATAAAAATAAAATAAGAACTCTTATGTGTTTCTTGTTGATTATACTTAACCTAGCTTTTAGTTTTCTTTTGCTCTATTTTGCATTGGTTTGGCAAGAAGCTCCACATATTAAGTTTAGTCCTTCAATATTGTTATATAATAATTTACTATATCTATTAGCTATCATGTTCTATGTGCCACTTTAGTCTTATGTGCTATTTATGGAAAGTGTCTAGAAAAACATCTATAAAATATAAAAGGTATCTTGAGCATTATTCTAAATTTAGTAAGTTTTTAGGCTTATCTTTAAGACTAACTCTTGGGACTAGAATGAAAGTTTAAAACAAGTTCTTATATATGAAAAGGGGATATAAAAGACTTTAAATGTATAGTAAGAATATTGGTTGGAAGCATATGAGATATTTTTTTAACTCCCATTAGGCTATGTTATTCGGTTGAAATCTAACTTTTATATTACTTTAGTCAATGAGATACCCACCTCCTTGTGTTAGGCCACTGGTATATTGCAATTATGTCAAACTTCTTTTGACACCATTTTGAATATAATGCTTATAAAAGATTTAAATGTATACTAAACCCTTATTTCATAGTGTCAACTCCAAATTTAAATATGCTACAATTTATTTAGTTGGAGACATTAAACCATAATACAATGATTTTCTTATCACTTTTATACCTCTAATTTTCAATTTTAAATACTGTTTTAATCAATAAATGAATGTAAATTAGGTAGTATTAGGAGGTATTAAGACCAAATAAATTATGGGAGAAATTTTTCTACTTAATAATCCCTTGTTAACCTCCTTGCACTTTTTTGGACTATATAAATAAAAAAGAAAAATAGGTGAAAGCATGGTCAGATTTAAAATAGGAAAACATTATTAAATCTAGCTAATTCATAAAGTAATAATTCTCTTAAGATTGAAATACTAAATAAAATAAGCTATCAATCTCAGATCTACATATTTTTTTATTAAACCTAATTTAAATAAATTGCTACGTGTTACATGTAGCAATGCTTGGTTTGCTTAATAGTAGTGTTATTATTACTTATTAGCCTAATTGATCAAATAAAGTTTATAATTATAAACATGTTGTAATTTATAAACACAAGATTAATTTTATTGCATATCAACCATTAGATGATAAACTAAAAAAGAATATACTAGAAAAGGTTTAAGAAAGTTTATAAATTATAAATAGAAGATTAATCTAAATGAATAACAACCGTTAGATGGTAGAATATTCAAGCATATTCTAGGTATATTCACTACCATCTTAGTCCCTCCACTACTACTTAAGCAAACAAAAAACATAAATATATTGTTAAGCTTGGTATTTATAATCCTTATGTTTAATATAAATAATCTGGACTATCCAATATCATATAAATAAATTTGTGAAACTAGATAGACAAAAGGGAACAATAATTAATGGCACTACATCAAATAAAACTTAAGCCCATCAATTAACTATGCCTTTAAAGTGAAATGCAGACTCCAATTTCACATCATTCCAAGTAGTAAAGTTTAAAGTTAGCATAATTATAATTAATACTTTAATTAATGGATTGAACTATATCCCTTATTAAGTTATTTGAAGAAAATTGTTTAGATTAATTAATGCAACATTTTCACTTTTGGAGCTACAACACACCATGACACTCTTGCTGTGGGAAGATGGTGTAATCTTGCAGCCTGATGGGAAACCATTTAGAGCTACAACATGCCATGACGCTGTTGTTGTGGGAAAATGGCGTAGACTTGCAACCTGGTGGGGACATGAGAGAGAGAGAGTGCAACCTGGTGGGGACATGTGAGAGAGAGAGAGAGTTTAATACTAATATTTATATCTTAGAATATTAAATTATACTCTATGATAATTCTGATTGTGATTAACTTGCATAAAGTATTTTGTAGTCATGTTAATTTTATTCTTTTTACAAAAGCTTTAACTTGTTTTCATATCATCAAAAGCTCTAATGTACTTTACTGATAAATGCAATCAAAGTATATTAATGACAAGGCGACCACTTGAACCCAATCCTAGCTTTTGCAAGATCATACTCTATATGATGATCCTGCTGGAGCAAATTCCCGAGAATGTTTGATCCATTTGTAGTCGTCACCTTTTGGAGGGCCACGCATTGGACATTCTCTGCCACAAGCACCATGTAGTTATTCCAAGGCAGCTCCATCACAGCACCACCCTGGAACTCCACTCCCAACTTTGGCATCCCCTTCTCCATCCTCGTCACATTGTAGCACAGCTCGAATCCTTCCGGGATTTCCTGGGCCCTGGGGAGATAGATCGATGCATTTAGAGCTCCCAAAACTTTGGAGTAGGCCGGCTCTCTCAAGTAGCTCAAAGTTGTCCCAGAATCAAAGATAGTCCCCTTGTTCCCATCACCGTCGATTCCCCAGTCGCTGCTCGCGATGCCGTCCACTGGCTTCCCATCCACGGCCACGCCCGTCACGTTGACGTAGTAGAAGCTTTGGGCGGCCGGGTTCCGTACTATTGGCGTATGGGCCAGTTTGCGCCAGTGCGTACGGCCCATGACAAGAAAGCTGCTGGCGTTTGAGCCACGAAGGTAGTCCACCAGACAATAGGAGAATATTCCACCGAGTGCGGTGTGGCGCGTTTGCGTGGCCAGGGAGATGGGCCCCTGCCCTAATCCAAGAACACCGGAAGCGCCCAAGAAGCTCGCGCCCACGCTCTCGCGGCTGCATCCAAGCGCCACATTCTTTATCCGGATCCTCCTGGTTTTGTGATTGCCAGCTCTTTTGCCGGATCTCTTGCGCGATTTCATGGAGATCGTCTCGTAGGCCAGGATTCCCGTCGTCCGGGACTGATCGCTGTATCCATAGGTGTAGTCGCAAGGACTGGGGCTCGTGATCGAGCAGCTGGATCCAATTGGAGCTGGGAGGAACTGACATTCGTCGTCCGTGCAAGGGATTTCTCTGTAGGAAGAAGAGGACGATTTGTCATACCATGGAGCAGGGGGAGACGATGAATTCGCGGTGGTGTTGGGGGGATTGCACTGGATCCATGTGAGATCGCTGCCGGTATCGACGATCAGAGGGAATTTCTTCGCTGGAGTGCCGACCCGGAGCTCCACGAAGTACTGCCCGGATCCAATCGAGCTCCCAGAGACGAGACGCGAGAAGAGCGCGGGATCTTCTCCTTGAAAATCCTGGATCGTGGCAAGGGATTCTCGTGGGAGCGTCGAATTGGTCGAATTCTTCTGCGCGGCTTCTTGGAGAACTCTCCCAAACGCCGCAATTCTCCCTCGATCCATCGCCATGAGCTCGTCTAGCAGCTGGATCCGATCGCGGTACTCCGGCTTCCAGTGTGGAGACTCTTCCGACGATCGGTGGACGATTCTAAGCCTGATTCCAGTCGAATCCCCTGGCAGCAATTCCCTAGACTGGGCAATTTGACCGCCCAAGAACATCCATACCAGCAGTCCTATAATGAGTGGAATCATGGCTCCCTCGAATCCGATCAAAATATCCTCTCTCTAAAGCATTGGTCCTCGCGAGGAAACATTTGGAGATCTTGTACTTCACACTGCAAACTTTGTACCCTAAGATCGATCAAAGCACCGACCACCACGATCAAAGACGTGCACTCCAAACGCCTATGCTTGGACGATGATGTTTACTTTCTTTGCTTCGCTACGTTTTCCTGGCTTACAGCTCAGTTCATAGGCCCACAGAAAAACCATTCTTTATCAAATGCCAAGTTGGTGACACTTGGGAGTGTGTGATTTTAATCTCTATAGTTTCTCCACGTCTTCTTTGACTCAGGCAAATCATCAGAAGAATAAACTTTGATCATAGCTTGCGCCGAAGTCTTTGTGATACAGACTGGCCACGTGAGAAGCCGAGTATCTGACACGTGGCGATCCGGACGCTGCAGCTAATCACAGCGCAGGACGGGGATCGAGCCTACCGCCGTCCGATGCGGGTGCTCTCAGCCGTTCAGTTGTTTTGAATTTCCCGCTCGCTTCTAGGGCGGGAGTTCGTGCGCTCTTGTATAAACGGAGAGGCCACAGATCCCAACCAAACGCTGCTAGGGTTCTTCGTCTTCGTCTTAGAGTTGCTCCTTTGTTCTTGCTTCTCCTCTCTCGATCGATCGAATCTATGGCTCGCACCAAGCAGACTGCTCGCAAATCCACTGGCGGCAAGGCGCCCAGGAAGCAGCTGGCTACTAAGGCCGCCAGGAAATCAGCCCCAGCGACAGGAGGAGTGAAGAAGCCCCACAGGTATCGCCCAGGAACAGTCGCGCTGCGTGAGATCCGCAAGTACCAGAAGAGTACGGAGCTGCTCATCCGCAAACTGCCCTTCCAGAGGCTGGTTCGTGAGATCGCGCAGGATTTCAAGACGGATCTGCGGTTCCAGAGCTCGGCAGTGATGGCGCTCCAGGAGGCGGCCGAGGCGTATCTTGTGGGTCTGTTTGAGGACACCAATCTCTGCGCGATCCATGCCAAGAGGGTGACGATCATGCCCAAGGACATCCAGCTCGCTCGCAGGATTAGGGGCGAGAGAGCCTAGTTCTTCCAAGATCCAGCCACTGCTACTAATGTATAGCATTTCCTCTAGTTCTTCCTTCCTGAGAAATTATGTGGTACTCTTTTCTTGAATGAATCGAACTGAGCTTCTCACTTCCATCCAGGAATGTCGATCGCTCTCTGACGCAGCTAGAGTCCTTCGCTGGATCCAATCCGGCAGTAGTATCAAGCGGAAGGATCTCTTTGTGTGGAACAAGCTGATTGAAATGTATGGGAGGTGTGGGAGTCCTGATAAATCAGAAGAGATTTTCCATAGCATGGTGGAATGGGATTGTTTTTCGTGGGTTCTCTTGCTTTCATCCTGTGCCAAGAACGGATCCCTCCAAGCATCAAGAGCGGTGTTTGATGCGATGCCGGAGAAAAACCTTGTTGCGTGGAGCTCGATGTTTGGAGCATATGCCCAGTCTGGGCATATGGAGGAAGCGAAAAAACTCTTCGATGTAATGCCGGAGAGGGATCTTGTTTCATGCACTAACATGATGCGACTTTACGTAGGAGCTATGAACTTGGAAGAGATCGAATCTATTTTCTCTGAGATGCCCGAGCCGGACATAGTGTCGTGGAACTGTATGCTTTTCGCATATGCCCAAACTGGGTATCTGGATAGATCCCAGGAAGTTTTTCAAGAAATGCCCTTGCGAGATCTGACTACTTGGAATTCGATGTTGTCCGCGTTTTCACAAAGTGGATGCGCGGAAGATGCTAAAAGGACATTTCATGAAATGCCCGAAAGGGACTTAGTTTCCTGGAATTCGATGCTGTCGGCATATGCGTTTAACGGGCATCTTGCTGATGCCGAGAATCTGTTTAATCAGATGCCGCACCGTGACATAGTATCTTGGAATGGTTTAATCTCCGCGTTTATCCACAGTGGGAAATTTCACGAAGCGATCCTGGCATTTGAAACGATGCCTCAGCACAACATGGTGACGTGGAGTTTACTGCTCCATGCATATTCCCATATAGGGCAAGTGCGTGAGGCAGAGTTTCACTTTGCAGTTATGCCTGAGAGGAATATGCTATGCTGGACGGCAATGCTCACGGCATACGTTGTTGCCGAGCAGCTCGATCGGGCCATTGATTTGTTCAATGCGATGCCACAACACAGCCACGTGGCACTTACGATCATGCTGACTGGATATGCCCAAGTGGGGGATATCACAATGGCTGAGAATCTCTACAGCCAAATGCCAGAGATTGATAGCGTGGCGTGCAGCTCGATGCTAACGGCTTACTCCACAAATTGCTACACAGAGAATGCCAAGTGTGTGTTTGACAATATGCGTTATAAAACTTTGGCTTGCTGGAATTCCATGGTTTCTTGCTATGCCCTGAATGGGCATTTTCTGGATGCTCTAAAGCTTTACCAAGGAATGCCAGAAAGAGACCAAGTGTCTCTAAATGTAATATTAAGTGGTTATTGTCGCGCTATGAATCTTAGCGAGGCCAAAGAGATGTTCTGGGCTATGAGAGAAAGGGATCTAATTTCTTGGACCACGATCATGTCTGCTTATGCCGAGTCAGGGTATCTGGACGAAGCAAAGGACTTGTTCGATAAAATGCCAGAGCGAGGGGCGATCTCGTGGAGCGCGCTGCTCGCCGGGCACGCGCAGGCTGGGAATAACTCCACGGCAATGGAGATCTTCAGCGAGATGAAAGCTCTCTTCCAGCCCGAGCGATCGAGCTTTGCATCGATCCTCCTGGGCTGCAGCCATTTAGGCAGGGCCTACAGCGCCAGGAGCTGCTTCGTCTCCATGGCCATGGATTTCGGATTGGAGGCGACCAAGCAGCATTTCTGCTGCATCATCGATGCCCTGGGCCGCGCGGGGCATCTGGGCGCCGCCGAGGAGCTCATCGCAACCATGCCCTTCGCTGCCGGTGCCCTAGAGTGGAAATCCCTGCTCGCGGCGTGTAGGAGCCAGTCCAATCGCGATCGCGGGGCAAATGCCGCGAGGAGCATCGTGGGAATCAATCCCATGGAGCCTGCCCTTTTAAATGTGGAATATCCTTGTTAGCCCTAAATGTTAACTTTATCAGCAACAAATACACCCGGTTTGATATTCCTTGTGATCTTCCTCAACAGTTACTTGAACGAGAGGATTGCCGCCAAGCCTGTAGGTAACAAGAATCATTCTTACGGAGATTCACGAAAATCTGCCCAGTACGAGTCCTTAATGAAGCCACCGATCAAAGCGGTGATTGAGGATCAAGTCGGTGATCGAGGTTGCAGTAGCATTGCTCAACATTGCGCTGGAGTGAAAAAAGAAATTTTGACAACTATATCATACGCTGTCCTAGAAAAGGTGTCCATCTCAACTTTTTTGCCCTTTATCCTTGCCCTAGCCACGGAAGCCCTAGATTCTTTTTCTTCAATGCTGGCGCCCCTTCGAGAGTATTCTCGCCACGCGTCGCCCAGTCACTGCATGGCGCCACGCGTCGCCCTGCCATCACTCCATTTGTCCCTCGCCTTGGCGGCGCTTATGCTTCCATATATTTCCAGTTCGTTTGAGCGAGCACAGCGACTACCTAGGGTCAGCTGTTTTGCTTGCGGTGAGATTTCTAGGATTTCTTGATCGATCCATAGCGGCGGTGCGTAGAATCTCCCACATTTCCCAGATTTTGATCTAGTGCGATGGAGTCGGGCAAGAATCAGCAGCAGGAGCAGCGCGTGAGCCCCGCCGAGGAGGCGCGCGCGAGCGCCGAGCGCGCCATGGAGAAGAGGGAGCACGGGGCGACGGCGACGCAGACGGCGGGGCAGTCGATCAGCGAGGCGCTGTCGCATTACCGCGAGGCCGTGCAGGAATCCGCCTACTCGGCCTTCAAATCGGCGCAGGACACGGTGGAGCGAGCCAAGGATGTCACGGCTGAGAAGACTGGCCAGGTAAAGGATTCTGCCTATGATTCGGCTGTCCGAGCGAAGGATACCGCGGCTGAGAAGGCTACCCAGGCGAAGGATACCACCTATGATACGGCTGCTCGAGCGAAAGATACAACTCTCGAGAAGGCTGGGCAGACGAAGGATTCGGTTTATGATAGCAGCGTTCGAGCCAAGGATGTCGCTGCCGAGAAGGCTGGCCAGGCGAAGGATTCCACCTATGATACGGCTGCTCGAGCCAAGGATGTTACTGCCGAGAAGGCTGGCCAGGCGAAAGATACCACATATGATTCGGCTGCTCGAGCAAAGGATGTTACTGCCGAGAAGGCTGGCCAGGCGAAAGATGCCACCTATGATTCGGCTACTCGAGCAAAGGATGTCACTGCCGAGAAGGCTGGCCAGGCGAAAGATTCCACCTATGATTCGGCTGCTCGAGCAAAGGATGTCACTGCCGAGAAGGCTGCCCGTGCTCAAGACACGACGAAGGTATGGTGTTTTGTACTCCTGTTGTTTTGTATTGAGCGATTCTTTTGTATTTCTCAGGATACGGTTGGCCAGAGCGCAGATAGTGCGAAAGGCACTGCTCAGCAAAGGTTTGTATTCTAGAGTTTGTTTTCTGTTCCCTTTTTTCCTGACGCTGTCTTTTTGCCTCAGTACCGATCGAGCTAGCGAGACTGCTGGAGGAGCCAAGGAAGGCTTGTTTGGAGCGATTGGAAACATCACCCAGGCTTTCTCCGAGAAGTTGGGGCTTGCGTCCGACAAAACCAAGGAGACTGCCGAGTCTGCTAAGGAGTCGGCCGAGTCGACTGTGGAAGCCGCGAAACAGAAGGGGGAGGAGCTCAAGCAGCGAACTGGGGAGAGCACCGAGGATTTCAAGAGGCGGACGGGCATGACTGTTGAAGAAGCAAAGGAGAAGACGGGGTCTCGGACCGAGGAGCTCAAGCAGCGAGCCGGCGAGAGTGTCGAGGAATTCAAGAAAAGAACGGGCATGACGGCGGAAGCTGGATCTGGGGAGAGGTCCGAGAGCTTGAGCCAGCGCGCCGGAGAGAGTGCCGAGGCATTCAAGCAGCGGACTGGAATCAGCGTGGAGGAGGCGAGGAGCAAAGTGGAGGTGCACAAAGAGGCGATGAAGGCCAAAGCGGGAGAGGCCGGAGAGCACGGCAAGGGATTGCTTGAGTCGGTGGGCGAGGCTGTGAGTCACGCGGCCTTCTCGCTCAAGGGCGCCGTTGTGGGTGGCGGCGGGAAAGCGGTCGAGAAGACCTCCGAAGAGGCCGATAGTGCCAACCGAGGAAAAATGTGAAGAATGAGTGTGCTTAGTTAATTAATAAGCCAAAGCTTTTGTCGATGATCTCATTACGTCAACAAATTATTGAATGTAATGGGATTACTAGATTCGCAACTTGAGTAATACACATCCTTTGGATTCCAAAATAAATAATTAGTAATTAGTAATCTAAATATGCATGTAAAAGGTCGAATTTCGTAAGAAATTTTTTGTTGTGTGTATAAACTATAATTAAATATGGACATTTCTGTATTCTATTTCAATACTCCATGCCAAGTAAAAGAAATTTTATATATACACTTTCAAATAGTTAATAATTGAATAATTTTAGTTAATCATCCAAGTTCCAGTTTATGTGTCAGTTTATCAAATGACAAAGACGTTTTGTCTGTGGAGGGAATGGTACTCACTCAGCCAGCGTTTGATCTCCCTCACTTCCAGCTCCCGCTGCTCAATGAGCCATTGCGGGTCGTCCTTTCTACTCCACCGAAAATCAAGGTGATGCGCTCCTGAAGAAACAGGTTTTCCATTTCATCTGAGCAGCCGGAAGCGTGAGAAAAGCTTTTGTTTCTACCTTCTTTCGTGACAAACGCCAGTATTGTGCTCGATATGCTCTCCAGAACACTGCACACCATCAAAATCGATGAGTGAGCTACGCAAACGAAAGGAATCATTCATGGCTTGCCTTCCACCGCTCCAAGGATCCAGCAAGCCATTCGAGAAGACAATGTTGCTTCCAAAGTTTCTCAACGCAGACTTGATATCCTGTAGTGGTGTATGCAATTCAGCTAACCGAAAAACAAAAGTCTTACTTACATGGCCTCCAAACTCCGTTGTCACCCAGCTCGGCCGAGGTATTGCACCATACTTTTCCCAGCAAAACCTGCTCCAGGCCTCGCCATCCCACTCGAACGGAGGATACATACTTGTACTTGAATTGGAGCTCATTGGCATAACCATCTCGGTGCAAGACTGAAGAGACGACTAGTTATATCTGACAAGGAAACAAAAAGAAGAAAACACCTGCCAGTTCCACCCGCTTAAACCATGCGGATCATCGTCAAGATCAAAGCATTTTGCGGCCCCTGTAAAGTTGTAGTAAACATTCACCCCCGCATATATCCTTTGAAGAATGCTTGACGCCACGGGAGAGTTCACCATTGCCTGGCAGACCTGAAATATACATGAGTTTAGAGGGCTTCTTTTACTTTTTTTTTCGTTTTGCAAACCTTTCGAACGGGATACGCAGGAAGTGGCATTGTAAAATTAGCTGCATATGGATAATTGGCCATGGCGAGGTACGAGTACGCAGACTCTAGCCAGTTTATCAACTCATCCGCGTTTTTGAAATCGCTACGAGAACAAAAAGATTTTTTGTTTTTCCTAGATGGAAAACAATGGTAAATTTACTTACCTGCACATATGAAAATCTTGGCTGAGATTGCGAAGCCCGTTCTGCTGTTCAGCAGCTTCCGTGATCGCTGTCCATGAATTCCGTATGATCTCGAAGCACTCCTCCCCCTCCCTCTGGGATAAAACACTTAACAAAAACACCCGGACAAAATTTCAATGCCAACCTTGAAAGCGTTCGAGACGATGTCATAGTACGTAGTGTATGGAACAATATTCTCGAACTGTAGTATCGGTGCTGACGACGCGAGAGCTCCGATCGCAATGTGTGGATACTTCAGCCGAAACCACGCAGCCAACACTGAAAAAAGCTTGTGAGAACCTCCAAAGAAAATCTCATTGAAACCACCTTACTTCCACCATAAGAACCGCCAAAGACCACCACTGGCGATGCTTGCGCCGAGAGATTCCTCTTGAGATCAAGTATGAGCGTCGCGAAATCGGCCAGAGCTTGCTCGGCAGAGCAAAATGCCAGTTCCTTAGGACCGTTTTGGCCTCCAAAAGGCTGGGATTTTCCATAGAATCGGTGCTACAATCACAGCAAAAAAAAAAAGAGAGAGACTGATCGAAGGAAAGAAGAACGAGGAAGAACAAAAACCAACCTCGGGGAAGACGAGCAGTGCTCCAAAGAGAGGAGCAATATCAAACATAAACCCAGTGTTCTCGGCAAACCACACAATGTCGCCCTCGTTACCACAGTAGACGAAGATGGGAGCTCCACTGGCACCTCCACTCCACGAGGCATTGTGGAGGAGATAGCGCTGGGGAAAGAGCGTTATATTCCCCACATTGAAGTGATCCAGCGTCTGCTGGAAGTAGTGCTCCGTGTAGGCGAAGCCTTCTTTCAAGGCAAGCGGCAGCGCAGCTCCTCTTCTCGGCGATTGCATGCGCGTGATGAGATGATGGTGATGAGCTCCTGCTCGCCATTCCTTTGCGTTTACCTGAATCAGGAGGGCAATCGCTGCCAGGAGCACGATCGCGCAACTCGCCATTCCTATCCCTAAAGTCGTCAAAGAGTGGAGCTAGAATATTCAAGGGACTACTTTACTATGTAATTAATTAAACATGTAAGTAATCAAAATATTTCTCTCTGTTAGCGGGCCACGTACGGGGATGCCAGTTTTCCCGTATGTGCAGGCTTTTCCATTCAATATCGGGTTGTTGCTCTCCAGAATACTTTTACTCTGGTCACTGCAATGGAACTATGCACGCAGGCATTGCCCAGCAGCAGCGCATATAAACAGATGCAAGCTTGAAATTGTAGCTCTAAAGTTTCAGTCGAATGGCGAAATTGCTTGTTCTTTCCTCCCTCCTCTTCGGCCTGCTGCTCTTGGCAGCCGATGCATCTCGCAACACTCAGCGTACGTGCGAACTTCTGCATTGCAATTTCAAGATTCTTGCTCTCTAATCTGTGGAATCCATGTGTAGCGGTTGACAAGGAGGGCACCAGTGAGAATTACAATGTCATTTTCGAGGGACCTCGTGAAGGCAGCGAGGCTGGCCCTGGTCTCAACAACGTTGTCACCCAGGAGCTCCCTGGGACGCACGGTATGATCAGGAGCTTTTGATTATGCGCCACTGCTTCTTCTCCGTTTGTTAATGTTGCAGGCCTCCAAGATACGTACTGCTGCCTGAGGAACGGCTTTGGATGTGTTCAGGAGTGCGACTCCAACATCAAATACTACTGCTGCTTGAAGACTGGATTCGGCAACTGCCTACAGCTCTGCGACTCGTCCAAGGAACAATACTGCTGCAAAAGGAACGGCTTTGGGATCTGCACTGGATTGTGCCCCAAAACCGTGGACCTGATGATGTGATCCGCGTTTGATGAAAAGTGTATGCAACATCTGGAATCAAAAGCTTATAATTGCTGATACTCTTTACAAAATTTTCACTAGACATTTACGTTTTTCAACTGAGTTTGTAAGTTCCCTTTTAGCATAGCTTGCCATGCCACTGCTGCTGGATCGTCCATCGGGAAACAAGTAGAACTGGAGGCGTTACAATCCCCTTTGAACAAAGTCTCAGTGCCTGATTTAAGTAAATTGTAAGAGAAAAAAAACTAGGAAGCTGTTACAGTCCACACGTGAAAGGCTCTAAGAATGCCACCTTTGGTTTCTCAATTGTCTAGCGCATAATGCATCGTCTCAATGACACTGGACGCGCCATTGTCCACCAAGCTCGAATTACACTGAGCTTTACCACCCTAGGAGCAAACCTCGCAAGAGTCTCAGTTCTACTTGTCAGTCTTCCTCCCAATGGACGCCATGGAACTATCCAGCAGCGGTGGCATGGCGAGCTACGCGAAAACCTGTCCGGAAAGGAGCGTAGCTTTGTGTGGTCGACCAACACGGGCCTCGATAGCTCTGGAAATCTTGTAATCCGGAGCAAAACTGGAACTTTGCTGTGGCAGAGCTTTGATCATCCCGGTGATGTTATGCTAGGATGGTTTCGGATCGTGTCTTCAGGAGTGCGACTCAGGCGTCAATTATTACTGCTGCCTTAAGAATGGATTGGGCAGCTATTTGCAGCTGTGCGACTCGTCCAAGGAACACTACTGCTGCAAGAAGAACGGTTTTTGTTCCTGAGTTGGAATGTTCCCCAAAACGGTGAATCTGATGTGAATTTGCTTGATGAACATGTGAATGCATTCTGGAATTATCAAAAGGATAAATTGCTTCTGTGACAACCTTTCACATTAACAAAACAGATTTTACACCATTTGCCATCAGTATAAAACAATATAATCATCTTCTGGGCTTAGCGCCACCATTGCCTTTGCTCGCAGACTTGCCACCTTTGCCTTTGTTCGCAGGCTTGCCACGTTTGCCTTTGCTCGCACCTTTGCCACCCGTTTTACCACCTTTTCCACCACCTTTGCCAGGCTTGCCACTTCCTCGGGATCGTGAATCCTTCTTCATGCGACGATCCACCACAAGCTTCCCTTTGCCACCCTTGACCCCGCCCTTCTTCGCCACAACGAGCTCCCGCTTGGGACGCTTAGTGGTCGTCGCCGCCGCTTTCTTGTAAACCTTGTCCATCATCCTGTTCTTGGACTTGTTCGAGATGTTCGGCTGATCGGCAATCGCCGCCGCTTTGCTCCGTGCTTGCTCCATTTTCTTCATCACCCTCCGCTTCTTGTGAGCCTTGGCCTCAGCAACCTTCTTCACGGGCCTCGCGTTTATCGCTCTAAACTGAGCCCTCATCGCCTGGACCTCTTCCTTGGTGAATGCCGCTTCTCGTCGTCCGCGAACCATTCCGGAAGCCCCTCGTCGTCGAACATGTACTTGTTGTACGCGTCGTCGATGATCCTGTCCCTGTCCTTCTTCAGCAGTATCTTCTTGGCGTAAGTGAGGATCTCTGCCTTGGCATCGCTGTCGTAGTCCTCCTCTTCGTCCGAGGAAGAGTCAGACGAACCACTCGGCTCGGCTGCTACAACTTCAAAGTCTTCCCGTGCTCTCTTGAGATTTCCTGGCGCAACCGTGAGATCGCTCGGAGGAGCGTTCTTGGCAGTCTTCTTGGTATCCATCTCCTGGGTTTGATCTAAACCGGCGAAGACGTTTTGCCTGAACCATTGCTGTGCAATCTGTTCCTTCGAGAGCTTGGCCTTGGGAAGCGACACGACGAGAGGATTGGCCTCCTCCTCCTCTTCTTCTACTTCGTTTTCTTCTTCTTCAGAAGCATTCTCTTCCACGTCCTCCTAAGGATATTGTCAGCTGCTTGCAAGTTCTAACACTTTCATTTGGCTTACCTCCCACAGCTTTTCGTCTCCTGCATTAGCCATTCTTGCGCGTTTCCGCCGTGCAGTGTTGCTTTCAGTCTTGCCCGGTAGCGTTCGTATGCACAATCGAGGAAAGATTCCAGCTCGTCGTTGTATCTGCGAGAGATTACGTTAACACTTCCAAGGCGTAGTTCTTACCTTTCGCGCTCGACGTCAGAATCCACATCATTGTCTTCGTCATCCTTCCGCTCCATGTCCTGCTTACTCGTTTCATCCTTCACATTGTCATCGCTGTCTAACATGTCGTCATCCGCACCTTCGACCCGATCCAAGCTTTTCTTCACCTGGAAAAATGTATCCAACACGAGCTCATAGGCACTGACGAGAAAGCGGACAAACATACCTTGATTGAGCCCAAAGAGAACAGATCCCGCTCGCCATAAGTGTCTCCCAAGACATCGACTTGCATCCCTGTTCTATTTCGTGCGTTAGTGTTGTGGCCCATCAACATACACCACCAACAAAAGATAGACAAACAATATGTACCTTCTGTTTTCGCTTGGCAGCCTTCTTCTTCGCCTGCTTGCTTTTCGAATCCATTAGAGACTTGAGCTCCTTCATTTTGTTTAGCGTATCCTCGTCTTCATCTTCTTCTTTTTCGTCGTCATCCTTTTCAGCAGCCTTATCACCCTCTGTTTCCTCCGAAGCTGACGTTTTCGAAAGAGCTTTTCGTACATGCAGGCACCACCTGAGAGAACCAAATGAGCATGAAAGACAACAGCCACAAGAAGTAGAACCTACTTCAAAAGTTGCTTGAATTCTTTCTTCCCCAGAACTCTAAGGTCTTCGCATAATGCCTTTATCTACAAGAAAAAAGTCCTCCAAATCAAAACAAGCAAACGAGGATTAGATATGAACGTACCTCGTCAGTTGTTTCAGCGTGGTCTTTGATTGGCGGATCCTCAAACGAAATAGACGTGATGCTACCAAGAAGCTCTAGAGGTTTTTCGGACCAGACGAAGTCTGCTGCCGTGCAGTCTTTACGAAAAGGAGGAGCAAAGCGGAGGAGCACAAAGAGGCGATGAAGGCCAAAGCGGGAGAGGCCGAGGAGCACGGCAGGGACTGCTTGAGTCGGTGGGCTAGGCTGTGAGTCACGCGGCCTTCTCGCTGAAGGGCGCCGTTGTGGGTGGCAGCGGGAAACGGTCGAGAAGTCTTCCGAAGAGGCCGATAGTGCCAACCGAGGAAAAATGTGAAGAATTGAGTGTGCTTAGTTAATTAATAAGCCATAGCTTTTGTCGTTGATCTCATTACAAATTATTGAATTACTTACCTGCACATATGAAAATCTTGGCTGAGATTGCGAAGCCCGTTCTGCTGTTCAGCAGCTTCCGTGATCGCTGTCCATGAATTCCGTATGATCTCGAAGCACTCCTCCCCCTCCCTCTGGGATAAAACACTTACAAAAACCCGGAAAAACTTTCAATGCCAACCTTGAAAGCGTTCGAGACGATGTCATAGTACGTAGTGTATGGAACAATGTTCTCGAACTGTAGTATCGGTGCTGACGACGCGAGAGCTCCGATCGCAATGTGCGGATACTTCAGCCGAAACCACGCAGCCAACACTGAAAAAAGCTTGTGAGAACCTCCAAAGAAAATCTCATTGAAACCACCTTACTTCCACCATAAGAACCGCCAAAGACCACCACTGGCGATGCTTGCGCTGAGAGATTCCTCTTGAGATCAAGTATGAGCGTCGCGAAATCGGCCAGAGCTTGCTCGGCAGAGCAAAATGCCAGTTCCTTAGGACCGTTTTGGCCTCCAAAAGGCTGTGATTTTCCATAGAATCGGTGCTACAATCACAGAAAGAGAGAGAGAGAGATTGATCGAAGGAAAGAAGAACGAGAAAGAACAAAAACCAACCTCCGGGAAGACGAGCAGTGCTCTAAAGAGATGAGCAATATCAAACATAAACCCAGTGTTCTCGGCAAACCACACAATGTCGCCCTTGTTACCACAGTAGACCAAGATGGGAGCTCCACTGGCACCTCCACTCCACGAGGCACTGTGGAGGAGATAGTGCTGAACTAATACTTAAACAATGTATTGCGGATACTTAAACAATGTATTGCGGATGTCGTCATCTGTGAGATTTGGTATAATATTAGTAGAGATATGATAATCTGAGCTTCGCTCATCTGCCTGGAAACGCACAAGCGATCAGCAAGACTAGATCCACAATAATACTTAGGCGAAGCCTTCTTTCAAGGCAAGCAGCAGCGCAGCTCCTCTTCTCAGCAATTGCATGCGATGATGGTGATGAGTTCTTGTTCGCCATTCCTTTGCGTTTACCTGAATCAGGAGGGCAATCGCTGCCAGGAGCAAGAGCGCGCAGCTCCTCGCCATTTTTATCCCTAAAGTCGTCAAAAAGTGGAGCTAAGGGACTACTTTACTGTGTAATTAATTTAAACCTGTAAGTAATCAAAATATCTCTCGGGTCACGTACGGGGATGCCAGTTTTCCCGTACTCTCCGTTCCTTTAGTCCAGGCTTTTCCATTCAATATCGGGTTGTTGCTCTCCAGAATACTTTAATCTCTGGTCCTGCAATTTTGTCACTGCAATGGAACTAACAAGTTTCATTCAGCGCAGATTTCCATCAGCCTAGTAGCGACATTCCCTTCATTTCTGAATAGTAGCCAATCAGCTTAAGCATGGACGTCCCACGCGATGCACGCAGGCATTGCCCAGCAGCAGCGCATATAAACAGATGCAAGCTTGAAATTGTAGCTCTAAAGTTTCAGTTCAATGGCGAAATTGCTTGTTCTTTTCTCCCTCCTCTTCGGCCTGCTGCTCTTGGCAACCGATGCATCTCGCAACACTCAGCGTACGTGCGAACTTCTGCATTGCAATTTCAAATCTGTGGAATCCATATGCAGCGGTTGACAAGGAGGGCACCAGTGAGAATTACAATGTCATTGTCGAGGGACCTCGTGAAGGCAGCGAGGCTGGCCCTGGTCTCAACAACTTTGTCACCCAGCAGCTCCCTGGGAAGCACGGTATGATCAGGAGCTTTTGTTATGCCCCACTGTTTCTCCGTTTGTTTATGCTGCAGGCCTCCAAGATACATACTGTTGCCGGAAGGATGCTTTCGGATCATGTCTTCAGGAGTGCGACTCGGGCGTCAATTACTACTGCTGCCTCAAGAATGGATTGGGCGGCTGTTTGCAGCTGTGCGACTCGTCCAAGAAACACTACTGCTGCAAGAAGAACCCTTTTGGTACCTGCCTTGGAATGTGCCCCAAAACGTTGAATCTGATGGATTTTGCTTGATGAACATGTGTGACTGCATTCTGGAATTATCAAAAGAATAAATTGCTTCTGTGACAACCTTTCACTTTAACAAAACACCATTTGCCATCAGTGTAAAACAATATAATCATCTTCTGGGCTTAGCGCCACCATTGCCTTTGCTCGCAGGCTTGCCACCTTTGCCTCTGTTCGCAGGCTTGCCACGTTTGCCTTTGCTCGCACCTTTGCCACCCGTTTTACCACCTTTTCCACCGCCTTTGCCAGGCTTGCCACTTCCTCGGGATCGTGAGTCCTTCTTCATGCGACGATCCACCACAAGCTTCCCTTTGCCACCCTTGACCCTCACGCCCTTCTTCGCCACAACGAGCTCCCGCTTGGGACGCTTATTGGTCGTCGCCGCCGCTTTCTTGTAAACCTTGTCCATCATCCTGTTCTTGGACTTGTTCGAGATGTCCGGCTGATCGGCAATCGCCGCCGCTTTGCTCCGTGCTTGCTCCATTTTCTTCATCACCCTCCGCTTCTTGCGAGCCTTGGCCTCAGCAACCTTCTTCACGGGCCTCGCGTCTATCGCTCTAAACTGAGCCCTCATCGCCTGGACCTCTTCCTTGGTGAATGCCGCTTCTCGTCGTCCGCGAACCATTCCGGAAGCCCCTCGTCGTCGAACATGTACTTGTTGTACGCGTCGTCGATGATCCTGTCTCTGTCCTTCTTCCGCAGCATCTTCTTGGCGTAAGTGAGGATCTCTGCCTTGGCGTCGCTGTCGTAGTCCTCCTCTTCGTCCGAGGAAGAGTCGGACGAACCACTCGGCTCGGCTGCTACAACCTCAAAGTCTTCCCGTGCTCTCTTGAGCTTTCCTGGCGCAACCGTGACATCGCTCGGAGGAGCGTCCTTGGCAGTCTTTGGTCCCTTGGTATCCGTCTCCGGGGTTTGATCTAAACCGGCGAAGATGTCTTGACTGAACCATTGCTGTGCAATCTGTTCCTTCGAGAGCTTGGCCTTGGGAAGCGACACGACGAGAGGATTGGCCTCCTCCTCCTCCTCTTCTTCTACTTCGTTTTCTTCTTCCTCAGAAGCATTCTCTTCCACGTCCTCCTAAGGATATTGTCAGCTGCTTGCAAGTTCTAACACTTTCATTTGGCTTACCTCCCACAGCTTTTCGTCTCCTGCATTAGCCATTCTTGCGCGTTTCCGCCGTGCAGTGTTGCTTTCAGTCTTGCTCCGGTAGCGTTCGTATGCACGATCGAGGAAAGATTCCAGCTCGTCGTTGTATCTGCGAGAGATTACGTTAACACTTCCAAGGCGTAGTTCTTACCTTTCGCGCTCGACGTCAGAATCCACATCATTGTCTTCGTCATCCTTCTGCTCCATATCCTGCTTACTCGTTTCATCCTTCACATTGTCATCGCTGTCTAACATGTCGTCATCCGCACCTTCGACCCGATCCAAGCTTTTCTTCGCCTGGAAAAATGTATCCAACAGGAGCTCATAGGCACTGACGAGAAAGCGGACAAACATACCTTGATTGAGCCCAAAGAGAACAGATCCCGCTCGCCATAAGTGTCTCCCAAGACATCGACTTGCATCCCTGTTCTATTTCGTGCGTTTAGCTGCAGTGTTGTGGCCCATCAACATACACCACCAACAAAAGATAGACAAACAATATGTACCTTCTGTTTACGCTTGGCAGCCTTCTTCTTCGCCTGCTTGCTTTTCGAATCCATTAGAGACTTGAGCTCCTCCATTTTCTTTAGCATATCCTCGTCTTCATCTTCTTCTTTTTCGTCGTCATCCTTTTCAGGAGCCCTATCACCCTCTGTTTCCTCCGAAGCTGACGTTTTCGAAAGAGCTTTTCGTACATGCAGGCACCACCTGAGAGAACCAAATGAGCATGAAAGACAACAGCCACGAGAAGTAAAACTTACTTCAACAGTTGCTTGAATTCTTTCTTCCCCAGAACTCTAAGGTCTTCGCATAATGCCTTTATCTACAGGACAAAGTCCTCCCAATCAAAACAAGAAAACGAGGAATAGATATGAACGTACCTCGTCAGTTGTTTCAGCGTGGTCTTTGATTGGCGAACTTTTGGGATCCTCAAACGAAATAGACGTGATGCTACCAAGAAGCTCTAGAGGTTTTTCGGACCAGACGAAGTCTGCTGCCGTGCAGTCTTTACGAAAGGTAGTGTTAGCATCATCGTATCTGCAGGAAAAGAAAAACATAAAACCAAGAGTCTATTTGACGTGAGAACCCACCCCTCGCGGTGACGTTTCTGTTTACTACTACGAAGAACGTCGATCACCTACACAATTTACTCGGCTTTAGCGCAAGCACCTTGTTTACAATACCAAAACCCACCTTTGGGGGCTGAGGAATCTCTTCAAATAAAAAGCGAGGGTCCAAGTTACGCGGATCGATTTTCACGGGTGCCAGATACTTGAGACCAACCACGTATATTTCAGCCGATGTCGAACGACTTGCTATGGGTTTCGTGACTTCCACCTTGGCAAACAGCTACCAAACGATACAAGAGGCAATGAATTATCACTCAAAAAACCATGACAAACATACCTGTTCAAATGCATACTTCAGCGCGTTATAATCTTGGGATCGAAAAACCTGCAAGAAAAAACCAATTTTGGGAATCAGAGAAGAAGGAAAAATTCAAAAGTGGAGGAAGAAAAGGAATTCCTCGTACCTTGGTGACAAACGTTCCTTTGGGAGCCAGAAACTTGGTAGCCAACTTCAAAGAATCCAGGACAAGAGACGACTGCGTCATGGCTTCTTTGGCCCAGGCACCTCCCACATTGGGGGAGCCATCGTGGAGCACAACATCGACCATCCTCAACCCATTCTGGTCGAGAATCTTCCCAATATCGGACGCGCATTTTGGAGTGGTGATATCGCCCTGGAGCGACAGCGCCCCTCTCACGGGGCGAATCGGCACCAGATCCACGCCGATTATCACAGACCTCACGGGCATCTTCTCCACGGCCACCTGCATCCATCCCCCGGGCGCCGCGCACAAATCCAGCACCGAGTGCGCCGAGCTGAGGAAGCCATACTTGCGATCGAGCTGCACGAGCTTGAATGCGGCACGGGAGCGGTAGCCCTGCTCCTTGGCGAGGTAGTAGAAGCGATCCAAGCGGTGCTTCCCCTTCTTCGCCTTCCCCATCCCTGCAAGACCTAAAACCCTACGAGGAACCCTAAAACCCCACTTTAGGTTTACAATAAATATTCTGGTGGATATTCGAGCACTTTTATAATGCGTACATTCATAAAGTCTTCCCTTCTTGGGTGATATACGAGGTAGTTACCTTAAGCATGCATCGCGTGGGGATGGGGACGCCCACGCGATGCATGCAGGCATTCCCCCTTTATAAACAGATGCAGAACTTTGTATTGTCAAGCATAATATTTCTGGTTTCAGTTCAAGGAGAATGGCCAAAGTTCTTCTTTCCACCCTCCTCTTTGGCCTGCTGCTCTTCGTAGCTGATGCATCTCGCAACACTCAGCGTACGTGCAAACACTTCCGCATTCGTGCAAATCGTTTCTCTAACCTGCAGAATGGTTCTAGTGACTGGCAGGGAGAGCGATGTGACTTACGTCGTCGAGGGGCCTCGTGAAGGTAACGAGGCTGCTGATCTCAATGTTGTCATCCGGAACACCCCGAAACACGGTAACTTAGATCACGTTATGATCTTCCTTGTAGCTGTCCTTGTGACATTGATTATGCCACTGCTTTTCCGTTTTTGATGATTGCAGGCCTCCAAGATACATACTGCTGCCTGAGGAACGGCTTTGGATGTCTTCAGGAGTGCGACTCCAACATCAATTACTACTGCTGCCTGAAGAATGGATTCGGATGCCTACAGCTCTGCGAGCCCAACGTTAATTATTTCTGCTGCCTCAAGGATGGATTTGGCAGCTGCCAGCAGCTCTGCGACTCATCCAAGGAACACTACTGCTGCAAAAAGAACGGCTTTGGGACCTGCACTGGAATGTGCCCCAAAACCGTGAACCTGATGAAGTGATCCGCGTTTGATGAAAAGTGTATGCAACATCTGGAATCAAAAGCTTGTAATTGCTGATACTCTTTACAATTTTTTTACGCTAGACATTTACATCTGGAACCTGATACAACTGAGTTTGTAAGTTCCCTTTTAGCATAGCTTGCCATGCCACTGCTGCTGGATCGTCCATTGGGAGACAAGTAGCACTGGAGGCGTTACAATCCCCTTTGAACAAGGTCTCAGCGCCTCATTTAAGTAAATTGTAAGAAAAAAAAACTTGGAAGCTGTTATAGTCCCATGTGCTCCACACGTGAAAGGTTCTAAGAATATCTTATCTTATGAATAATTGTTTAAACTTGAGCTTTAGCTCGATTCATGAGATCGTCCCAACACACCTAGGAAAGAACGGTGCGCTTTCTTGTCATGTCTTCCAATTCCATGCTGATATTCATCGCCACCTTTGGTTTCTCAATTGTCTAGCGCATAATGCATCGTCTCAATGACACTGGAAACGCCATTGTCCTCCAAGTGTTGGATTGTTCACCCACCAATAGGGAACGTAGGAGCAAACCTCGCAAGGGTCTCAGTTCTACTTGTCAGTCTTCCTCCCAATGGACGCCATGGAACTATCCAGCAGCGGTGGCATGGCGAGCTACGCGAAAACCCGTCCGAAAAGGTGCGTACGGCGACCTAGTGCTGAGCGACGTAGATGAAAGCTTTGTGTGGTCGACCAACAAGGGCCTCGAGAGCTCTGGAAATCTCGTAATCCGGAGCAAAACTGGAGCTTTGCTGTGGCAGAGCTTTGATCATCCCGGTGATGCTATGCTCCCTGCCAGCCTCTAAAACCAGGGATGAAGTTAGTAGCCAGCATCTCTAACGAGAAGAAAGAGCGAGGGTACTTCTCACTCGAGGTAAGCCGCTTCTTGGTCGCTTTGAACTCCAGTATGTTGGGATCTTTTGGAGAGCTCTGGAGCTCCGACGAGGAAGAAGAAGAGATATCGTTTCTCTTCCTCATCAATAGCAGCTTGGAAATCCACGGGACGAAAGGTGTTATGTGGTCCACTCCAACGATCGGTGCTTACTGGTCAATCCGGATACCAGTTACTCAAGATCTACTCCAATGGAGAGCTCCAGTTTACCTCGAGATCATTCAGCAGCAGCAACAGCACGAAGAGCATCGACTTAAAACCCGCAGTTATTCGGGAACAGCTTGCTTACTCGAACCTGTGGGATCTCGTTCCAGACAGCTGACGGATGCCTCTGTCCGGAGCTCAAGAACGACACCAGGGGATCGTCATCCATGGAGTACGTTTCTTCCGGGGACAAGGAGAGGTGCAAGCCCGAAAACGAACCTGGAGGAACCTGGAAGAACCTGCGAGAACTCGCAACATTACTACATGCTCGAAGCCACAGTACGATACTTCTACAAACCTCTAGATTTATCCAGTGCGCTCCACAACGTCACTCCAGCAGCATGCATGGCCATGTGTATCAAAAACTGTTCGTGCAAAGTAGTGCTAAGCCAGGAGAAAACGAGTACCTGTTTCCAGATGAATGAAGTTTTTGCTCTGAACAGAACTCGCAACGTCGCCGATCAAGCTTCGCTGTTTTCGATCAAGTTGTACCAAGCTGGAGATCTTCCAAAGCTCTCAGCACCAGGCAGCTCGCAGAACAAAGAAGCCAAGCAACAGAAAAAGGCAAAGCCAGCCATCGTCGGGGCTTTCTCTGTGGCAACCATGGCTATAATCATCATCGCAATGGTGATCTGGAAGAAACTGATAAACTCGTACCTCAAACACTACAAACCATCGTTTCCATCCGGTGCTATGGACGTGGTGCGCGTGCGTCTTCACGTACCCGGAGCTCCACACTCCTTCAGTAAGAAAATCGCTTTGGCACGGCAGGATGGTAGAGCAAGGAGATCTAAGCGATGTCATGACCATGATCCGAGGAACACCCGGATACATGAGATGAGAGTGAGCGACAAACTGGACGTCTACAGCTTTGGGATCCTTGTGCTGCAAATGGCAACTGGACTACAAGCTTTCTGTCTTGCGGGAGGCAAAGTTCCTGGCGGCATGGGCGTTTGAGAAGCTTCGATCTGGGAAGTTAATGGAGATGTTAGAAGAGAAGAGGGCCCGGCACGAAATGGAGGCTACCTCTAAGGCCGAGAAGCTGCTTCGCATTGGAATGTGGTGCATCCAGCCGGATCCCAGGGGCGCTCTGCAATGGCTCAAGTCGTCAAAATGTTGCAAGGAGTGCCCTAAATGAATTCTTTATTATTTAAAACCTTTAAGGAGTTAAAACATTTAGTTTAATTTAGTTTAATTTGTTATATTTTAGTTTAGTTAAGCAAAATAAAAAACTTTTAATTGGAATATTTGCCCAATGTTTTTCTTTTAATATGTATAATACATAAATAATATTACTAAAACATTGTTATTGTTTAAATGTCAGTTATGAAAACCACTTTAGAATCATGGTTTTTCTTAGATCTTATTAAAGAAGTAGGAAGATAAAATAATTATTACTCAGTGTTTTTAAAAAATGGTAAATCCTTAAATATGACAATATCATTTTTAAATGCACAACCAAATAATAGATGGAATATCTTTCCTGATTTTAGTATAATATATAAAGGCTTTGATTTACAAGTAGAATTTACAAATATGATGGTTGGTTTTGTTATGGATGATTTTGTAAAATTTGGATCCACAGAATATATCAATGGACAATTTACCAAATCATATCAGTTTGATTCAGATTATATTTTTCCACATAAAGTAAAACGTACTCACAACCACATAAAAACGATTTCAATATTTATAAGGTCTGCATAAGAAATGGACCACACCATTCTGTCTTTTCTACATCATCAAATGGGAACTTTCTACAATCTCTAAATGGAATATTCACGCTTTACCTAGTTTTATATACAAAGAGTGTAATTGTTTGGAGCACTCACACAAATAGCAATGCTTTCTAAGGTTGCAAAAAGATGGAAATATGGTAATCTATGATGAAAATTACACGGTTGTTTGGTCATACAGCATTTACTGGAAAGACAAATGGATTACTAGCGCATTATGTGTTGATAACTCTGGACGTGTTATAGTATGCAACACTGTAGAGCAAACTTGTATATGCCCATCACGAAGATGAGAATTTAAAATCTAGCATTCACTCTACACAAATATGAGACAAACGGACATAAGTTGATGCTCCAGAAGCTCTTGCGATGGGGCCAAACGATTATTGCCATGAGTTTTACAAGCCCCAAGCAGCGTCATGTAGGCAATGGAGCCCGGCTCGATTGGCATGCTATCGATCACCTCTTTGGCCTCATCAAGCCGGCCAGTTCACCCAAGCAAATCGATCACACACATGAAATGCTCCAAGTTTGGAGGTATGTGATGATCGAGCACAAGAGACTGAAAACTATGCTTACCACTCTCAAAGAGCCGGGCGTGGCTACATGGAGAGAGAACACTGACAATCGTAACTTTGTCCGGCTCAAGCCCCTCGTGCTTCATCCTCCAGAAGAAATCAAAAGTTTCATCAAAATGACCGTTATTTGCATATGCCGAGATGATTCCATTCCATGAAACCACGTCCTGCCCTGTCTTTGCCTCAAAAGCCAACGTTGCCCCTTCAAGGTATCCACACTAAGCATTTGGTGTTGAGTAGAAAACTAAGCTGGAAGAAGAATCTAAATGGAAACAATGAATTTGTCTCTTGAGACTTCCTGTAAATTAGCCAAGTGCTAGTGAAAAAATCAAAGTAGAAAGATTCAAGGAAATGGAGAAATCCTTGTCCAAACGCCAAATTCATACTCAAGATTGAGAAATTGTGCTTGCATAATGTCTGTCAACCTCAGCTTCCTGATTCAATTGTGAACCATGTGACAATTGGATGTCTAGTGTGAATGAAAGTGTGATGGGTCAGCTCAGTGCTTGGAAAGTTCTTCATTTCAACCATCAGATCAAAACTGAATCTATCTCCCGAGAACAAAAAATTGATCATAAATGGGTTAGCAATCTAAGTTTTTAAACTGACAAAGGACAGCATTCGACGAAACATCTAGTCCCAAGATAATATTCTAGAACCCTAAAACGCATCATGGTTCTATGCGCGTAGATGCTGCGGCGACACTACTCCGAAAATGCCGATCTCCCACGGAGGCGCGGATTCTCCACTCGCAGATCGCCAGGGCGGGCCTGGATCGCAACACATTCGTCGCGAATCTTGTCATTCACATGTACAGCGTCTGCGGCGGCCTGCGCGATGCCGAGAACGTCTTCCACAGCGGCGCAGCCCGCCGCAACGTCTACTCGTGGACGATCTTGCTTCGAGCATTTGCCCAGACAGAGGATCTTGCCAGAGCCAGGGACGTTTTCACGCGAATGGCTCATCGCGATGTGGTCTCCTGGAATGCGCTGATTGCCGGGTACGCCGGCGCTGGGAATCTCTCGCGGTCGCAGGAGCTCTTCGATTCCATGCCGGAGAGAGATCTTGTGTCCTGGAACACGATCATCGCGGCGTATGCCCAGAATGGGCATTGCAGAGAGGCGCTGGGATTTTTCCGGGGCTTGGATCTCCAGGGCGTGGCGCCGGATTCCATCAGCTTCGTGAGCGTTCTCGATGCCATTGCCGGGATCGAAGAGCTGGATAGAGATCTGGCAAGGGCGATTGCCATGGAAGCAATCCGCCTGGGAATTCACACCCAGATCGCTGTCGGGACGGCGCTCGTTGTGGTTTATGGAAAGATTGGCGAGGCCGAGAGCGCGGAGCATTTCTTTGATCGGATCATTGGCAGGAATGCGATATGCTGGAACGCCATGCTGTCCGCGTATGCCCAATCAGGGAATCTTTGCAAAGCGCGAGAGTTCTTCGACCGAATGCCTTGCGTTGATGTGATCTCCTGGACGACGATAATTGATGCCACATCTCGCCATGAACGGCTCCAGGATGCAAAGGATCTCTTTGATTGCATCAAACAAAGAGATTTGGCTGTCTGGAACGCTCTACTTTCAGCATTTGCCCAAAAGGGGCATTTTTTTGAGTCTATAGATTTGTATGAAAGACTCCCAGCCCACGATCTTCGTTCAAGAACATCACTGCTCATAGCTTACGCTTCGAAAGGTGACATGGTTTCGTTGCAGGAGATATTTCATCAAACAAGCCACAAGGATGCCACTCTCTGGAACGCGATGATCACAGCACTTGCCCTGCTTGGGCATATGCTAGAAGCTCTAGACCTTTTCGATTCAATGGACGTTCTCAAGAACAAACTCACGTACATCATCGCCATCGACGCCTGCGGCAGCCTTGGCGATCCTGATCGATGCGAGAGGATCTTCCACTTGAGCCAAGCCTGCGGATCCTTGCGTAGCGATCACGGAGTATCGTGCTCCTTGATCAAGATGTTTGGGAGATCCGGTGCGGTGGAGAGGGCCGAGCTCGTCTTCGAGCAGAAGAAGCGGCGGAGAGAGCTCTGGAACGCCATGATCGCGACGTATGCTCACAATGGATGCCTCGACGAAGCGATGCTCCTTTTCAAGACAATGCCCCGGAGAGATCTTTCCTCGTGGAGCATCGTCGCTAGAGCTCAAGCCCAGCAGGGACACTTCGATCAAGCACTGTTCTTGCTCGAGATCTCGCCAGAGATCACTATCGCGGCATGCAACGCGCTGATCACCGCGTATCTCCAGAGAGGCCACCTCGCTAGCGCGAGGCGGGTATTCGATCGGATGGAGCAGCGAGACACGAGTTCGTGGAGCTCGATCATCGCGGCCTATGCCCAGCTCGGTCACTGCGAGGAATCACTCGCGCTGTTCTGGCAGATCGACACAACACCCGACCGCGCGACGTTCCTCGCAGCTCTCGATGCGTGCTCGGGCCTCTCGAGCCTCTCCCACTGCCGCCAAGTTCACGCAGCGGCGGATCACACTGGCTGGATCTCCGATCTCGCCGTGGCGACTTCACTGGTGGCGAGCTATGGAAAATGCAAGGGAGTGGAGGAATCCAAGGCAGTGTTTGATCGCATCGAGCACCCATCCACTGTCTCGTGGAACTCTTTGCTAAGATCATATGCGCAAAACGGGCATCTCGCCAAGGCCGCGAGTTTCCTCGAGGAAACCATTCCTTCTCCAGACGTGGTCTCGTTTAACACGCTCGCGGCGGCTTATATCCAGCACGGGAGAGTGAACGAGGCTCTGGAGATTCTCACGAAAAGGATGCCCTGCTGGGACAGCTTCTCGCACAACACAGCTATGGCGGCGCATGCCCAAGCCGGGCATATCCACAAAGCAAAGGAAATATTTGAGAAAATGGAGGAGCCAAGCACGGTCTCGTGGAACACCTTGATTTGTATCTTCGTCCAAGCCGGGGAATGCGAGAGTGCTGCTCGGCTCTTTCACCAAATGGATCTGGAAGGCGCCCAGGCGGACAAGGTGAGTTTCTTGGCTGTTCTTGACGCCCTTGGGAGGATCACCGCTCTCCAAAAGGGAAAGCTTGTGCATGGTGAGCTCCATCACTCTAGGTTTCAATCCGACGTGATAACAAGCAATGCCGTTGTCAACTTTTATGGGAGGTGTGGATACCTTCAAGGGGCAAAGGTGGCGTTTGAGGCAATGACAAGGCAGGACGTGGTTTCATGGAATGGAATCATCTCGGTGTATGCAAACAACGGGCATTTTGAGGAAACTTTTGATCTCTTCTGGAGGATGAAGCTCGAGGGGCTTGATCCGGACGAAGTCACGTTTGTCAGTGTTCTCTCTGCATGTAGCCATGCCGGGCTCTTTGAGAGTGGTAAGTATAGTTTCCAGTCTCTTGTGCTCGATCATCACATAGCTCCAAACTTGGAGCATTTCATGTGTGTGATCGATTTGCTTGGGCGAACTGGCCGGCTTGACGAGGCCCAAGAGGTGATCGATAGCATGCCAATCGAGCCGGGCTCCATTGCCTACATGACGCTGCTTGGAGCTTGTAAAACTCATGGCAATAATCGGCTTGGAAACATGGCTGCTCCAAGCGCCATCACAAGAGCTTCTGGAGCATCAACTTATGTCCTTCTATCTCATATTTGTGTAGAGTGAATGCTAGATTTTAAATTCTCATCTTGGTGATTGCCATATACAAGTTTGCTCTACAGTGTTGTATACTACAACATGTCCAGAGTTATCAACACATAATGCACTAGTAATCCATTTGTCTTTCCAGTAAATGCTGTCTGACCAAACAACTGTGTAATTTTCATCATAGATTACCATATTTCCATCTTTTTGCAACCTTAGAAAGCTATTTGTGTGAGTGCTCCAAACAATTATACTCTTTGTAGATTGCAGTCCTGAATAAACCATTTAAAGATTGCAGAAAGTTCCCATTTGATAATGTAGAAAAGACAGAATGGTGTGGTTCATTTCTTATGCATACCTTATAAATATTGCAATCGTTTTTATATGGTTTTGTAGGGTGAAAATAAGCAAATTTAATCTGAATCAAGCTGATACGATATGCTAAACCGTCCATTCATATATTCTGCTGATAATATCTGTAAATTCTACTTGTAAATCAAAGCCTTTATATTTTATCTACTATTTGATTGTGCATTTAATAATGATATTGTCATTCTTAAGGATTTACCATTTTTTGAAAACACTACTTTAGAAAGTGAAAATCCTGAGTAATAATTATCTTTTCTTCCTACGTCTTTAATAAGATCTAAAAGAAAACCCATGATTCTATGTTTAAAACTGGTTAGTTTGTTATATTTTGGTTTAGTTAAGTAAAATTAAAATAGTTTAATTTTTATTTATTTATAAATTCTTTAATTTTAAAATGTAAAACCTTTTACAAGCGTTTGAGATGAATATTTAATATGCCCAAATCTTTATTTCTCTTAATTTCTATATTATTTCAAAAACATTGTTAAACTTTAAGTGCCATTTACGAAAATCCAAATTCTATATCACTAAGCCTGGATCTAAATAATAAATAATATCCTCGAAGAATCTTAGGGCACTTGCATCGGGCGCTGCTTTGGATCCGGTTGGATGCACCACACTCCAATGCGAAGCAGCTTCTCGGCCTTAGAGGTAGCCTCCATTTCTTGCCAGACCGAAGCTTCTCAAACCGCCAGGAACTTTGGGCTCCTCCCGCAAGACACACAGGTATGGAAAGCGCCACTTCCAGCACAAGGATCCCAAAGCTGTAGATGTCCAGTTTGTCTCTCACTCTCATCTGCAACCATTCCGGAGCCATGTATCCGGGTGTTCCTCAGATCATTGTCATGACATCGCTTAGATCTCCTTGCTCTACCATCCTCGACAGTCCAAACTCTGCTATCTTGACACCAAAGTTTTCGTCCAGGAGTAGGTTTTGCGGCTTGATGTCCAAGTGCAGGACTCTAGTGCTGCATTCCTCGTGGAGGTAGCACATCCCTCGAGCAATCTCCTCGACTATCTTGAATCTCGTGTCCCAGTTGAGCTCTTCCCGCGGCTTGTAGATCCACTTGTCTAGCGATCCGTTTGCTACGTACTCGTAAATCAGGAAGTAGTGTGATTCCTGGGAAAAAAAGCCTTTGAGTCTTACAAGGTTCTTGTGATGGATGATTCCGATCGCTCTCACCTCCGCCTTGAACTGTTTGTATCCTTGGCTCGAGAAGCTCTCCAGCCGTTTCACGGCAACGGAGAGTATCCCTTCGAAAACCGTGCCAACGCCTCCACTTGCGATTTTCTCACTGAAGGCTTTGGTTGCAGTGAGGAGCTCCGGGTAATTAAAGACGCGCATCAACGATGGTTTGTAGTGTTTGAGGTACGAGTTTATCTGTTTCTTCCAGATCACCATTGCGATGATGATTATAGCCATGGTCGCCACAGAGAAAACCGCGACGATGGCTGGCTTTGCCTGTTTTTGGTATTTGGCGACTTTGTGAGTTGCCTGGTGTTGAGAGCTTCGGAAGATCTCCAGCTTGGTACAACTTGATCGAAAACAGCAAAGCTTGATCGACGACGTTGCGAGTTTTGTTCAGAGAAAAAACTTCGGTCATCTGGAAACAGGTAGTCGTTTCTCCTGGCTTAGCATCCCTTTGCACGAACAGTTTTTGACACACAGGGCCATGCACGCTGCTGGAGTGACGTTGTGGAGCGCACTGGATAAATCTAGAGGTTTGTAGAAGTATCGTCCTTTGGCTTCGAGCATGTAGTAATGTTGCGAGTTCTCGCAGGTTCTTACAGGTGCTTGCATCCCTCCTTGTCCCCGGAAGAAACGTACTTCGTGAACGATGCAGAGGCATCCTTCAGCTGTCTCGAACGAGATCCCACAGGTTCGAGTAAGCGAGCTTTTCCCGAAGAAGAGCGGGTTTAAGTTGATGCTCTTCGTGCTGTTGCCGGTGCTGAATGATCTCGAGGTAAACCGGGGCTCTCCATTCGAGTAGATCTTGAGGAACTGGTACCCTGCTTGATCAGTAACACCACCGATCGTTGGAGTGGACCACATAACACCTTTCGTCCCGTGGATTTCCAAGCTGCTATTGACGAGGAAGAGAAATGATATCTCTTCTTCTTCCTCATCGAAAAGATCTCCAGACCTCTCCAAAAGATCCTCAACATACTGGAGTTCAAAGCGACCGAGAAGCGGCTACCTCCAGTGAGAAGTACTCTGGCTCTTTGTTCTCCTTAGAGATGCTGGCTACTAACTTCATCCCAGGGAGCACAGCATCACAGACCACCTGCGAGAACCAAATGAGCATGAAAGACAACAGCCACGAGAAGTAAAACTTACTTCAAAAGTTGCTTGAATTCTTTCTTCCCCAGAACTCTAAGATCTTCGCATAATGCCTTTATCTACAGGAAAAAGTCCTCCCAATCAAAACAAGCAAACGAGGAATAGATATGAACGTACCTCGTCAGATGTTTCAGCGTGGTCTTTGATTGGCGAACTTTTCGGATCATCAAACGAAATAGACGTGATGCTACCAAGAAGCTCTAGAGGTTTTTCGGACCAGACGAAGTCTGCTGCCGTGCAGTCTTTACGAAAGGTAGTGTTAGCGTCATCGTATCTGCAGGAAAAGAAAAACATAAAAACAAGAGTCTATTTGACGTGAGAACCCACCCCTCGCGGTGACGTTTCTGTTTACTACTACGAAGAACGTCGATCACCTACACAATTTACTCGGCTTTAGCGCAAGCACCTTGTTTACAATAACAAAACCCACCTTTGGGGGCTGAGGAATCTCTTCAAATAAAAAGCGAGGGTCCAAGTTACGCGGATCGATTTTCACGGGTGCCAGATACTTGAGACCAACCACGTATATTTCAGCTGATGTCGAACGACTTGCTACTTCCACCTTGGCAAACAGCTACCAAACGATACAAGAGGCAATGAAATATCACTCAAAAAACCATGACAAACATACCTGTTCAAATGCATACTTCAGCGCGTTATAATCTTGGGATCGAAAAACCTGCAAGAAAAAACCAATTTTGGGAATCAGAGAAGGAGGAAAAATTCAAAAATGGAGGAAGAAAAGGAATTCTTCGTACCTTGGTGACAAACGTTCCTTTGGGAGCCAGAAACTTGGTAGCCAACTTCAAAGAATCCAGGACAAGAGACGACTGCGTCATGGCTTCTTTGGCCCAGGCACCTCCCACATTGGGGGAGCCATCGTGGAGCACAACATCGACCATTCTCAACCCATTCTGGTCGAGAATCTTCCCAATATCCGACGCGCATTTTGGAGTGGTGATATCGCCCTGGAGCGCTCTCACGGGGCGAATCGGCACCAGATCCACGCCGATTACCACAGACCTCACGCGGCCACCTGCATCCATCCCCCGGGCGCCGCGCACAAATCCAGCAGCGAGTGCGCCGAGCTGAGGAAGCCATACTTGCGATCGAGCTGCACGAGCTTGAATGCGGCACGAGAGCGGTAGCCCTGCTCCTTGGCGAGGTAGTAGAAGCGATCCAGCCGGTGCTTCCCCTTTTTCGCCTTCCCCATCCCTGCAAGACCTAAAACCCTACGACGAACCCTAAAACCCCACTTTAGGTTTACAAGAAATATTCTGGTGGATATTCGAGCGCTTTTAAAATGCGTCAGGATACGAACATTCATAAAGTCTTCCCTTCTTGGGTGTAATGATGCCAGAGCTCATAGAAACCTCCATATGATCGTTGTTGCTGCCCCTTGAAAGCAGAAAACAAGAGCGCTTCCAATCTAGCTGGCGTTGCTGCTGCTGCTGCTGCTTGGGTCGACCAGCATTTCCATTCCAAAGAAGAACCTAAAACCCCCTAGAGAAGAGGGTATCCCAAAGTCCCCCAATTCAGAGGAGCAAAGCAAAAGGAGAAATACACACTAGTTAGCATTGGACACAAAGGAAAATAGTTCCAATCACTTTAACTTGGACCACACAGGACAGAGAAGTGCCATGTAATCTGCCACAAATACCCTCTTCTCTCAAATCTAGGGCCTCTACGCAATACTCCAAACTTCCATCCCTAGATTATACAATCCCCAAGTTTTCACACAAGATCACTCAATCAATCAAACAAAACATCTTTCGATAACGCGAAACTTGGCATCTTGTTTGACCAACTTAGAATGGATGGATGCATTATTCATCCCTAGTGTGTTTGTTTGCCTGTCAACCTTTTTGTAGGGTCTGGAAAGTTGTTGTTGTGGTGGTAGTTTTTGTCTTTGATCTTGTCCTGTGTGGTCCAAGTTAAAGTGATTGGAAGTAATGTTGTGTGGTAGCAAGTCGGACGGGAGTGGAAAGAGAGAAGTGCCATGTAATCTGCCACATCATTGCCAGCAAGGTGGAGAGAGACTGTTTAACAGGAGGCATGCATCGCATGCGGGCATTCCCCCTTTATAAACAGATGCAAAACCTCGCATTGTCAAGCATAATATTTCTCAAGAATGGCCAAAGTTCTTCTCTCCGCCCTCCTCTTTGGCCTGCTGCTCTTCGTAGCGGATGCATCTCGCAACACTCAGCGTACGTGCAAACACTTCCGCATTCTTGCAAATCCTTTCTCTAACCTGCAGAATGGTTCTAGTGACTGGCAGGGAGAGCGATGTGACTTATGTCGTCGAGGGGCCTCGTGATGGTAACGAGGCTGCTGATCTCAATGTTGTCATCCAGAGCACCCCGAATCACGGTAACTCTTGTTGTGACCACGAGCTGTCCTTGTGATGTTGATTATGCCACTGCTTCTCCGCTTTTCATGCTTGCAGGCCTCCAAGATACATTCTGCTGCCTGAGCAACGCCTTTGGATGTCTTCAGAACTGCGACTCCAACATCAAATACTACTGCTGCTTGAAGAATGGATTCGGGAGCTGCCTACAGCTCTGCGACTCGTCCAAGGAACACTACTGCTGCAAAAAGAACGGCTTTGAGGTCTGCGTTGGAATGTGCCCCAAAACCGTGGACCTGATGAAGTGATCCGCGTTTGATGAAAAGTATATGCAACATCTGGAATCAAAAGCTTATGATTGCTGATACTCTTTACAATTTTTTATCTAGACATTTACGTTTTTCAACTGAGTTTGTAAGTTCCCTTTTAGCATAGCTTGCCATGCCACTGCTGCTGGATCGTCCATTGGGAGACAAGTAGAACTGGAGGCGTTACAATCCCCTTTGAACAAGGTCTCAGCGCCTCATTTAAGTAAATTGTAAGAAAAAAAAACTTGGAAGCTGTTATAGTCCCATGCACGTGAAAGGTTCTAAGAATATCTTATTTTATGAATAATTGTTTAAACTTGAGCCTTAGCTCGATTCAGAAGATCGTCCCAACACACCTACGAAAGAACGGTGCGCTTTCTTGTCATGTCTTCCAATTCCATGCTGATATTCATCGCCACCTTTGGTTTCTCAATTGTCTAGTGCATAATGCATCGTCTCAATGACACTACAAGCGCCATTGTCCTCCAAGCTCGAATTATACTTGGCTTTACCACCCCTAGGAGCAAACCTCGCAAGAGTCTCAGTTCTACTTGTCAGTTTTCCTCCCAATGGACGCCATGGAACTATCCAACAGCGGTGGCATGGCGAGCTACGCGAAAACCTGTCCGGAAAGGAGCGTACCGCGACCTAGTGCTGAGCGACGTAGATGAAATTTTTTTGTGGTCGACCAACACGGGCCTCGAGAGCTCTGGAAATCTCGTAATCCGGAGCAAAACTGGAGCTTTGCTGTGGCAGAGCTTTGGTCATCCCGGTGATGCTATGCTCCCTGCCAGCCTCTAAAACCAGGGATGAAGTTAGTAGCCAGCATCTCTAACGAGAACAAAGAGCGAGGGTACTTCTCACTCGGGTAAGCTGCTTCTTGGTCGCTTTGAACTCCAGTATGTTGGGATATTTTGGAGAGCTCTGGAGCTCCGACGAGGAAGAAGAAGAGATATCGTTTCTCTTCCTCGTCAATAGCAGCTTGGAAATCCACGGGACGAAAGGTGTTATGTGGTCCACTCCAACGATCGGTGATGTTACTGGTCAATACGGATACCAGTTACTCAAGATCTACTCGAATGGAGAGCTCCATTTTACCTCGAGATCATTCAGCAGCAGCAACAGCACGACGAGCATCGACTTAAAACCCGCAGTTATTCGGGAACAGCTTGCTTACTCGAACCTGTGGGATCTCGTTCCAGACAGCTGATGGATGCCTCTGTCCGGAGCTCAAGAACGACACCAGGGGATCGTCATCCATGGAGTACGTTTCTTCCGGGGACAAGGAGAGGTGCAAGCCCGAAAACGAACCTGGAAGAGCCTGCGAGAACTCGCAACATACTACATGCTCGAAGCCACAGTACGATACTTCTACAAACCTCTAGATTTATCCAGTGCGCTCCACAACGTCACTCCAGCAGCGTGCATGGCCCTGTGTATCAAAAACTGTTCGTGCAAAGCAGTTCTAAGCCAGGAGAAAACGAGTACCTGTTTCCAGATGAATGAAGTTTTTGCTTTGAACAGAACTCGCAACGTCGTCGATCAAGCTTTGCTGTTTTAGATCAAGTTGTACCAAGATGGAGATCTTCCAAAGCTCTCAGCACCAGGCAGCTCGCAGAACAAAGTAGCCAAGCAGCAGAAAAAGGCAAAGCCAGCCCTCGTCGCGGCTTTCTCTGTGGCAACCATGGCTATAATCATCATCGCAATGGTGATCTGGAAGAAACAGATAAACTCGTAGCTCAAACACTACAAACCATCGCTTCCATCCGGTGCTATGGACGTGGTGCGCGTCTTCACGTACCCGGAGCTCCACACTGCAACCAAAGCCTTCAGTAAGAAAATCGCAAGTGGAGGCTTTGGCACGGTTTTCGAAGGGATACTCTCGGATGGATCCAAGGTTCCTGTCAAGCGTCTGGAAACCTTCTCGAGCCAAGGATACAAGCAGTTCAAGGCGGAGGTGGGGGCGATCAGAAGCATCCATCACAAGAACCTCGTAAGACTCAAAGGCTTTTGTTCCCAGGAATCACACCACTTCCTGGTTTACGAGTACGTACCAAACGGATTGCTAGACAAGTGGATCTACAAGCCGCTGGAAGAGCTCAACTGGGACACGAGATTCAGGATAGTCGAGGAGATTGCTCAAGGGATTCGCTACCTCCACGAGGAATGCAGCACTAGAGTCCTCCACTTGGATATCAAGCCGCAAAACATACTCCTGGACGAGAACTTTGGTGTCAAGATAGCAGACTTTGGACTGTCCAGGATGGTAGAGCAAGGAGATCTAAGCGATGTCATGACCATGATCCGAGGAACACCCGGACATATGAGATGAGAGTGAGCGACAAACTGGACGTCTACAGCTTTGGGATCCTTGTGCTGGAAGTGGCTACCGGATTACAAGCTTTCCATACCTGTGTGTCTTGCGGGAGGAGCCCGGGCATGGGCGTTTGAGAAGCTTCGGTCTGGGAAGTTAATGGAGATGTTAGAAGAGAAGAGGGCCCGGCACGAAATGGAGGCTATCTCTAAGGCCGAGAAGCTGCTTCGCATTGGAGTGTGGTGCATCCAGCCGGATCCAAGGGAGCGCCCTGCAATGGCTCAAGTCGTCAAAATGTTGCAAGGAGTGCCCTAAAATTCTTTGACCAATGAATTCTTTATTATTTAGATCCTTTAAGGAGTTAAAGCTTTTAGTTTAATCTAGTTTAATATGTTATATTTTAGTTTAGTTAAGAAAATTAAAAAAGTTTTATTTGGAATATTTTCCCAATTTTTCCTTTTAATATTAAAACATGGTTATTATTTAAATGTCAGTTACGAAAACCACTTTAGAATCATTGTTTTTTTAGATCTTATTAAAGAAGTAAGAAAAATAATTATTGCTCCGTGTTTTTGAATAAATATGACAATATCATTTTTAAATGCACAACCAAATAGTAGATGGAATATCTTTCCTGATTTTAGTATAATATATAAAGGCTTTGATTTACAAGTAGAATTTACAAATATGATGGTTGGTTTTGTTATGGATGCTTTTTGTAAAATTTGGATCCACAGAATATATCAATGGACAATTTACCAAATCATATCAGTTTGATTCAGATTATATTTTTCCACATAAAGTAAAACGTACTCACAACCACATAAAAACGATTTCAATATTTATAAGGTCTGCATAAGAAATGGACCACACCATTTTTGTCTTTTCTACATTATCAAATGGGAACTTTCTGCAATCTCTAAATGGAATATTCACGCTTTACATGCAACTGGATTGCAATCTAGTTTTATATACAAAGAGTGTAATTGTTTGGAGCACTCACACAAATAGCAAAGGCAATGGATGCTTTCTAAGGTTGCAAAAAGATGGAAATATGGTAATCTATGATGAAAATTACACGGTTGTTTGGTCATACAGCATTTACTGGAAAGACAAATGGATTACTAGCGCATTATGTGTTAATAACTCTGGACGTGTTATAGTATGCAACACTGTAGAGCAAACTTGTATATGCCCATCACGAAGATGAGAATTTAAAATCTAGCATTCACTCTACACAAATATGAGACAAACGGACATAAGTTGATGCTCCAGAAGCTCTTGCGATGGCGCCAAACCGATTATTGCCATGAGTTTTACAAGCCCCAAGCAGCGTCATGTAGGCAATGGAGCCCGGCTCGATTGGCATGCTATCGATCACCTCTTGGGCCTCATCAAGCCGGCCAGTTCACCCAAGCAAATCGATCACACACATGAAATGCTCCAAGTTTGGAGCTATGTGATGATCGAGCACAAGAGGCTGGAAACTATGCTTACCACTCTCAAAGAGCCGGGCGTGGCTACATGCAGAGAGAACACTGACAATTGTAACTTCGTCCGGATCAAGCCCCTCGTGCTTCATCCTCCAGAAGAAATCAAAAGTTTCATCAAAATGACCGTTGTTTGCATATACCGAGATGATTCCATTCCATGAAACCATGTCCTGCCCTGTCGTTGCCTCAGAAGCCAACCTTGCCCCTCCAAGGTATCCACACTAAGCATTTGGTGTTGAGTAGAAAACTAAGCTGGGAGAAGAATCTAAATGGAAACAATGAATTTCTCTCTTGAGACTTCCTGAAAATTAGTGGTGCCCAAGTGCTAGTGAAAAAATCAAAGTAGAAAGATTCAAGGAAAGGGAGAAATCCTTGTCCAAACGCCAAATTCATACTCAAGATTGAGAAATTGTGCTTGCATAATGTCTGTCAAAGCTACCTGATTCAATTGTGAATTCTGGATGTCTAGTGTGAATGAAAGTGTGATGGTTCACCTCAGTGCTTGGAGAGTTCTTCAATTCGAACATCAAATCAGAACTGAATCTATCTCCCCAGAACAAAAAATTGATCATTAATGTGTTAGCAATCTAAGTTTTTAAACTGACAAAGGACAGCATTCGAAGAAACATCCCAAGAAAATATTTTAGAACCCTAAAACGCATCATGGTTCTATGCGCGTAAATGCTGCGGCGGCACTACTCCGAAAATGCCGATCTCCCACGGAGGCGCGGATTCTCCACTCGCAGATCGCCAGGGCGGGCCTGGATCGCAACACATTCGTCGCGAATCTTGTCATTCACATGTACAGCGTCTGCGGCAGCCTGCGGGATGCCGAGAACGTCTTCCACAGCGGCGCAGCCCGCCGCAACGTCTACTCGTGGACGATCTTGCTGCGAGCATTTGCCCAGACAGAGGATCTTGCCAGAGCCAGGGACGTTTTCACGCGAATGGCTCATCGCGATGTGGTCTCCTGGAATGCGCTGATTTCCGGGTGCGCAGGCGCTGGGAATCTCTCGCGGTCGCAGGAGCTCTTCGATTCCATCCCGGAGAGAGATCTTGTGTCCTGGAACACGATCATCGCGGCGTATGCCCAGAATGGGCATTGCAGAGAGGCGCTGGGATTTTTCCGGGGCTTGGATCTCGAGGGCGTGGCGCCGGATTCCATCAGCTTCGTGAGCGTTCTCGATGCCATTGCCGGGATCGAAGGGCTGGATAGAGATCTGGCAAGGGCGATTGCCATGGAAGCAATCTGGCTGGGAATTCATACCCAGATCGCTGTCGGGGCGGCGCTCGTTGTGGTTTATGGAAAGATTGGCGAGGCCGAGAGCGCGGAGCATTTCTTTGATCGGATCATTGGCAGGAATGCGATATGCTGGAACGCCATGCTGTCCGCGTATGCCCAATCAGGGAATCTTTGCAAAGCGCGAGAGTTCTTCGACCGAATGCCTTGCGTTGATGTGATCTCCTGGACGACGATAATTGATGCCACATCTCGCCATGAACGGCTCCAGGAGGGAAAGGATCTCTTTGATTGCATGAAACAAAGAGATTTGGCTGTCTGGAACGCTCTACTTTCGGCATTTGCCCAAAAGGGGCATGTTTTGGAGTCTATAGATTTGTATGAAAGGCTCCCAGCCCACGATCTTCGTTCAAGAACATCACTGCTCATAGCTTATGCTTCGAAAGGTGACATGGTTTCGTTGCTTGAGATATTTCATCAAACAAGCCACAAGGACGTCACTCTCTGGAACGCGATGATCACAGCACTTGCCCTGCTTGGGCATCTGCTAGAAGCTCTAGACCTTTTCGATTCAATGGACGTTCTCAAGAACAAACTCACGTACATCATCGCCATCGACGCCTGCGGCAGCCTTGGCGATCCTGATCGATGCGAGAGGATCTTCCACTTGAGCCAAGCCTGCGGATCCTTGCGTAGCAATCACGGAGTATCGTGCTCCTTGATCAAGATGTTTGGCAGATCCGGTGCGGTGGAGAGGGCCGAGCTCGTCTTCGAGCAGAAGAAGCGGCGGAGAGAGCTCTGGAACGCCATGATCGCGACGTATGCTCACAATGGATGCCTCGACGAAGCGATGCTCCTTTTCAAGACAATGCCCCGGAGAGATCTTTCCTCGTGGAGCATCGTCGCTAGAGCTCAAGCCCAGCAGGGACACTTCGATCAAGCACTGTTCTTGCTCGAGATCTCGCCAGAGATCACTATCGCGGCATGCAACGCGCTGATCACCGCGTATCTCCAGAGAGGCCACCTCGCTAGCGCGAGGCGGGTATTCGATCGGATGGAGCAGCGAGACACGAGTTCGTGGAGCTCGATCATCGCGGCCTATGCCCAGCTCGGTCACTGCGAGGAATCACTCGCGCTGTTCTGGCAGATCGACACAACACCCGACCGCGCGACGTTCCTCGCAGCTCTCGATGCGTGCTCGGGCCTCTCGAGCCTCTCCCACTGCCGCCAAGTTCACGCAGCGGCGGATCACACTGGCTGGATCTCCGATCTCGCCGTGGCGACTTCACTGGTGGCGAGCTATGGAAAATGCAAGGGAGTGGAGGAATCCAAGGCAGTGTTTGATCGCATCGAGCACCCATCCACTGTCTCGTGGAACTCTTTGCTAAGATCATATGCGCAAAACGGGCATCTCGCCAAGGCCGCGAGTTTCCTCGAGGAAACCATTCCTTCTCCAGACGTGGTCTCGTTTAACACGCTCGCGGCGGCTTATATCCAGCACGGGAGAGTGAACGAGGCTCTGGAGATTCTCACGAAAAGGATGCCCTGCTGGGACAGCTTCTCGCACAAAACAGCTATGGTGGCGCATGCCCAAGCCGGGCATATCCACAAAGCAAAGGAAATATTTGAGAAAATGGAGGAGCCAAGCACGGTCTCGTGGAACACCTTGATTTGTATCTTCGTCCAAGCCGGGGAATGCGAGAGTGCTGCTCGGCTCTTTCACCAAATGGATCTGGAAGGCACCCAGGCGGACAAGGTGAGTTTCTTGGCTGTTCTTGACGCCCTTGGGAGGATCACCGCTCTCCAAAAGGGAAAGCTTGTGCATGGTGAGCTCCATCACTCTAGGTTTCAATCCGACGTGATGACAAGCAATGCCGTTGTCAACTTTTATGGGAGGTGTGGATACCTTCAAGGGGCAAAGGTGGCGTTTGAGGCAACGACAAGGCAGGACGTGGTTTCATGGAATGGAATCATCTCGGTGTATGCAAACAACGGGCATTTTGAGGAAACTTTTGATCTCTTCTGGAGGATGAAGCTCGAGGGGCTTGATCCGGACGAAGTCACGTTTGTCAGTGTTCTCTCTGCATGTAGCCATGCCGGGTTCTTTGAGAGTGGTAAGTATAGTTTCCAGTCTCTTGTGCTCGATCATCACATAGCTCCAAACTTGGAGCATTTCATGTGTGTGATCGATTTGCTTGGGCGAAGTGGCCGGCTTGACGAGGCCCAAGAGGTGATCGATAGCATGCCAATCGAGCCGGGCTCCATTGCCTACATGACGCTGCTTGGAGCTTGTAAAACTCATGGCAATAATCGGCTTGGAAACATGGCTGCTCCAAGCGCCATCACAAGAGCTTCTGGAGCATCAACTTATGTCCTTCTATCTCATATTTGTGTAGAGTGAATGCTAGATTTTAAATTCTCATCTTGGTGATTGCCATATAGAAGTTTGCTCTACAGTGTTGTATACGACAACATGTCCAGAGTTATCAACACATAATGCACTAGTAATCCATTTGTCTTTCCAGTAAATGCTGTCTGACCAAACAACCGTGTAATTTTCATCATAGATTACCATATTTCCATCTTTTTGCAACCTTAGAAAGCATCCATTGCCTTTGCTATTTGTGTGAGTGCTCCAAACAATTACACTCTTTGTAGATTGCAGTCAAGTTGCATGTAAAGCATGAATAAACCATTTAAAGATTGCAGAAAGTTCCCATTTGATAATGTAGAAAAGACAGAATGGTGTGGTCCATTTCTTATGCATACCTTATAATATTGCAATCGTTTTTATATGGTTTTGTAGGGTGAAATAAGCAAGTTTTACTTTATCTGGAAAAATATAATCTGAATCGAGCTGATACTATATGCTAAACCGTCCATTGATATATTCTACAAAATCATCCATAACAAAATCAGCCATCATATCTGTAAATTCTACTTGTAAATCAAAGCCTTTATATTTTATCTACTATTTGGTTGTGCATTTAATAATGATATTGTCATTCTTAAGGATTTACCATTTTTTGAAAACACTACTTTAGAAAGTGAAAATCCTGAGTAATAATTATCTTTTCTTCCTACGTCTTTAATAAGATCTAAAAGAAAACCCATGATTCTATGTTTAAAACTGGTTAGTTTGTTATATTTTGGTTTAGTTAAGTAAAATTAAAATAGTTTAATTTTTATTTATTTATAAATTCTTTAATTTTAAAATGTAAAACCTTTTACAAGCGTTTGAGATGAATATTTAATATGCCCAAATCTTTATTTCTCTTAATTTCTATATTATTTCTAAAACATTGTTACACTTTAAGTGTCATTTACGAAAATCCAAATTCTATATCACTAAGCCTGGATCTAAATAATAAATAATATCCTCGAAGAATCTTAGGGCACTTGCATCGGGCGCTGCTTTGGATCCGGTTGGATGCACCACACTCCAATGCGAAGCAGCTTCTCGGCCTTAGAGGTAGCCTCCATTTCTTGCCGCGCCCTCTTCTCTTCTAACATCTCCATTAACTTCCCAGACCGAAGCTTCTCAAACCGCCAGGAACTTTGGGCTCCTCCCGCAAGACACACAGGTATGGAAAGCTTGAAGTCCGCTAGCCACTTCCAGCACAAGGATCCCAAAGCTGTAGATGTCCAGTTTGTCTCTCACTCTCATCTGCAACCATTCCGGAGCCATGTATCCGGGTGTTCCTCAGATCATTGTCATGACATCGCTTAGATCTCCTTGCTCTACCATCCTCGACAGTCCAAACTCTGCTATCTTGACACCAAAGTTTTCGTCCAGGAGTAGGTTTTGCGGCTTGATGTCCAAGTGCAGGACTCTAGTGCTGCATTCCTCGTGGAGGTAGCACATCCCTCGAGCAATCTCCTCGACTATCTTGAATCTCGTGTCCCAGTTGAGCTCTTCCCGCGGCTTGTAGATCCACTTGTCTAGCGATCCGTTTGCTACGTACTCGTAAATCAGGAAGTAGTGTGATTCCTGGGAAAAAAAGCCTTTGAGTCTTACAAGGTTCTTGTGATGGATGATTCCGATCGCTCTCACCTCCGCCTTGAACTGTTTGTATCCTTGGCTCGAGAAGCTCTCCAGCCGTTTCACGGCAACGGAGAGTATCCCTTCGAAAACCGTGCCAACGCCTCCACTTGCGATTTTCTCACTGAAGGCTTTGGTTGCAGTGAGGAGCTCCGGGTAATTGAAGACGTGCACCACGTCCATAGCACCGAACGGAAACGATGGTTTGTAGTGTTTGAGATACGAGTTTATCTGTTTCTTCCAGATCACCATTGCGATGATGATTATAGCCATGGTTGCCACAGAGAAAACCGCGACGATGGCTGGCTTTGCCTGTTTTTGCTACTTGGCGACTTTGTGAGTTGAGCTTCGGAAGATCTCCAGCTTGGTACAGCTTGATCGAAAACAGCAAAGCTTGATCGACGACGTTGCGAGTTTTGTTCAGAGAAAAAACTTCGATCATCTGGAAACAGGTAGTCGTTTCTCCTGGCTTAGCACCCCTTTGCACGAACAGTTTTTGATACACAGGGCCATGCACGCTGCTGGAGTGACGTTGTGGAGCGCACTGGATAAATCTAGAGGTTTGTAGAAGTATCGTACTGTGGCTTCGAGCATGTAGTGATGTTGCGAGTTCTCGCAGGTTCTTCCAGGTGCTTGCATCCCTCCTTGTTCCCGGAAGAAACGTACTTCGTGAACGATGCAGAGGCATCCTTCAGCTGTCTCGAACGAGATCCCACAGGTTCGAGTAAGCGAGCTTTTCCCGAAGAAGAGGGGGTTTAAGTTGATGCTCTTCGTGCTGTTGCCGGTGCTGAATGATCTCGAGGTAAACCGGGGCTCTCCATTCGAGTAGATCTTGAGGAACTGGTGCCCTGTTTGATCAGTAACACCACCGATCGTTGGAGTGGACCACATAACACCTTTCGTCCCGTGGATTTCCAAGCTGCTATTGACGAGGAAGAGAAATGATATCTCTTCTTCTTCCTCATCGGAGCTCCAGACCTCTCCAAAAGATCCTCAACATACTGGAGTTCAAAGCGACCGAGAAGCGGCTACCTCGAGTGAGAAGTACCCTGGCTCTTTGTTCTCCTAGAGATGCTGGCTACTAACTTCATCCCAGGGAGCACAGCATCACAGGGATGATCAAAGCTCTGCCACAGGAAAGCTCCAATTTTGCTCCGGATGACGAGATTTCCAGAGCTCTCGAGGGCCAAGACTTGCGCTCCAGATCCTCCCGTGTTGGTCAACCACACAAAGCTTCCAATGTCACTGGAAGCACCATCTTCCTCCAAGCTCCACTCTCGAATCCACTCCAGATATTTCGAATTAGCCTTGGCTTCAGCACCCCTTCCTGCCTCCTACTTGGGAGCAAACCTCCCAAGAGTTCCAGTTCTACTTGTCAGTCTTCTACGCCATGGACGACAAGGAGAGTTTCAATCTCTACTATCTAGCAGCGGTGACATGGCGAGCTACGCGAAAACCGTCCCGAAAGGAGCGTACCTCAGCTTTACCAGCGATGGCGACCTGGTGCTGAGCGACGTGGATAGGTACCCAGCTTGTGCTTGGCTTGGCTGTGGATTCCTGTTGGCATTGTCCAAGGAGAACCAGCGGACGATCTTATGAATCGAGCTAATGATCAAGTTTAAATATTCTTAGAACCTTAGAACGAACTATGATTTACTTGAATGAGGACTTGTTCAAAGCTACTTGTCTCCCAATGGACGATCCAGCAGCAATGGCATGGCAAGCTACCTTACAAACTCAGTTGAAAAAAGTAAAAGTATAGCGAAAATCTTGTAAAAATATAAAATTCGTAGAGAGTATCAGCAATTATAAGCTTTTGATCCCAGATGTTGCTTACACTTGTCATCAAACGCAGATCACTTCATCAGGTTCACCGTTTTGGGGCACATTCCAAGGCAGGTACCAAAAGGGTTCTTCTTGCAGCAGTAGTGTTTCTTGGACGAGTCGCACAGCTGAAAGCAGGTACCAAGAGGGTTCTTGAGGCAGCAGAAGTATTTGACATTGGTCTCGCAAAGTTGCAGGCAGCCGCCGAGTCCATTCTTGAGGCAGCAGTAGTATTTGATCTTGGAGTCGCACTCCTGAACACATGATCCCAAACCATCCTTCAGGCAGCAGTACTTATCTTGGAGGCCTGCAGCATTAACAAACGGAGAAGCAGTGGCGCATAATAAATATCACAAGGACAACTCATGATCACAACAAGAGGGATCATAACGTGATCTATGTTACCGTGTTTGGAGGGGATGACAACATTGAGACCAGCAGCCTCGTTACTACCTTCACGAGACCCCTCAACGATGTAAGTCACATCGCTCTCCTTGTCAGTCACTAGAACGATATCTGCAAGTTAGACAAACGATTTGCAAGAATGCGGACACGTACGCTCAATGTTGCGAGATGCATCGGCTACGAAGAGCAGCAGGCCAAAGAGGAGGGCGGAAAGAAGAAACACTTTGGCCATTCTCCTTGAACTGAACCCAGAAATGACAATATAAGGTTTTGCATCTGTTTATAAAGGGGGAACGCCTGCATGCACAAAATATCTTCTAAAAATATCTTCCAAAAATATCTTCTAATGTTTCCTCCTCTCAAAATTGGATCAACGTGCTAAAGTATTTGTCATGGTTTTTTGAGTGATAACTCATTGCCATCTGTTTGCCAAGGTGGAAGTCACAAAACCCATAGCAAGTCGTTTGACGTCAGCTGAAATATACATGGTTGGTCTCAAGTATCTGGCACCCATGAAAATCGATATCTAAACAAGGTGCTTGCGCTAAAGCCAAGTAAATGATCGATGGCATCACCTGTCTGAAAAACCTCTAGAGCTTCTTGGTAGCATCATGTCTATTTCCAAATGGAATAGGGATGCAAGCCAATGTCCCCTTCACCCGAGGGGAACCG